TAAATATATTCTTTGTTGAGGCAAAAAAAAGGATTCAATAAATTCAATAAAAGATCAGATTGCTTAGCTGTCAAGCCACCTCCAATTTCTCTTCAGTAAAGATGCGAAATATAAAAGGGTTGTGTTTTTCATCTTTACTAAAAATAAATTAGAGGTGGGTTTACAACTATGCCATCTACTCTTTATAAATTTGACAAATTTGACATTTTACAGTGCTTTTTACTCAATGTGAAAATATAAATCCTTAGATTTCCCTGGTTTGAAATGAAAGTGTGGTGCTTTACATTCTTTTGTGCGTCCCATTAATTGGCAATTAATAAGTGGCTCAGGAGAGCTTGGCCTTGCTGATATGAGCTTGGCTAATTAGCAGATGGAGATTGTGCCGTGAGGCTTGTGTGTATCACTGATGTGTGAGAGTGAAAATAAAGAGCTGGCTGAGGTAATGTAGCAGAGAAAAAGTAATAGCCCACACACTGGGCGCCAGCTGGCTGAATGGGATCTTTTCCCCCCTCATCATCAAGTCTTTTAAGTGTGAAAGCCGGAAGTGTGAAAAGTCTTACCTCCATAATACTCATATAACCTACTTTTGGCAAATTATAAGACAGAAAATAAACAACAGAATGGCATATAGCCTACCAAGAAAACAAAATCTCTTGAGACAAAAGTTGTCATGTTTTAATGCTCAAAGGGATTTTATCTGACAGCTCAGAGAGTGGGGGATGTATGCTTTAAAACCTACAAGAGAGAGAGGAAGACAAGGCAAGTTCAGAGTTAGGGTAAGGTGAAGAGGTTCTTTCATTCCAAAAAAAAAAGGGGGATTATAGAGGGAGGGCTGCAGAGATTTGCATTTAAAAGAGCCCTTGCAGCAAGAGAGTGGATAATATGTGGATAACAGAATGGCTATATGCCATTCTGTTGTTTATTTTCTGTCTTATAATTTGTCAAAAGTAGTGTGTGTTTTTAAGCAATGTTCTATTTTGTTCTCTCTTGATGACATTTTGTGCTTTACAGAAGCTATGTAAGAAGTATTCGCAGTATATTACTTGCTAAAAGCAAATATTATACAGATTTTCTCACTAACAATTCATTGCTGAAAGTGCACATTAAAGTGACGCAAGAAATACATGAATTAAACTGACACATTTTGGATGTCAGTGTCTATATGAATAACTCAAATCTAGGGCATCATCTCAAGGCTAATTTGTTTTCGTAATTGAAGAAGCAAGGTCACAGATATACTGAATGCATTTTGGCCTCAAGTAGTTTACTCATGCTGTGCGCATTGAAAAGGCAACATAAGGATGGTGACGGATTATATCTTCAGCAAAAATACAAATGCACACTTTTATTTAACCTATATCAAACAGATAAACATGATATTTGGGAACCTCATGAACCTTCAACTAAAAATGTCAACCAGGATAAATTAATTTTAAAAATAATATCAAATATACACACACATACACACACACTAAGCTTGCATGTTATGGCGATCCTCTCCAGGGCTGAGTGCCACTGTTCCAGATTGCACACAGAATTGAAAAAAAGGAGGATTAAACCGATGGGGATTAAGGGGTCTTTATCGCTCACTGTCCTAACACACGACTCAGAAAGCCCATATCAGCTTTTAATTTAATGGCAGAACACATCAAAATTCACAAATGTTGTTTTGTTTATACTGCATGTATGAATGCTTTCACACAACGTTAAACCTGCTGAAAGTTGCCGTCTCTTTCCTGCAGAACAGTTCATCTGATCCTCCCAACAGCACTCAGGGGCCCACCACAGATAAAAAAGGTGCGTTTATGCGTTTCATTACACCATGTTTGAATTTTTCAAAATGGACTACTTGAAAACTCCTCCATATTTTGTTCTCCACCAGAACTGTACGGTTACATAAGGCCAGGTTTATATTTGTACAAATATAAGTGTAGCCAACCACAAAACAGATGTCTACTAGTCCAGTCTGATTGTTATCTTTTTTTACTATTTTTATCATAAAATATCAGTTCAGTTCTCTCTCTCTTTACAAAAAAGCACACACGCATACCCATGAGAACTGAAACACACATTTACTCTAGAGAGACCGTTCTTTATTGCATATCTAGTGGAGGTTGGTTATTCCCATAAGGTCAGGGTATATTCAGCTGACTTACCCTTTCATCTCACCAAAGCCCTGACGTTGCAAACCGCATCAGCTAATTAAATGAGCTCGTAATAACTTAAAGGGATATTTCATCTAATAAGAAGATATTTTGAAGAATGATTCAGCTGGTTTTGACCTAGTGTGACCTGTCGGCATGAGGCATTATATCTGTGTCCTTCTTTTCAAGACAATTAAAGCTTTAAACAAAAGAATTACGGGGTATTACTGATATATTTTAAGTTGTAGAAAAAATATCTTAAGCTTGTTTTAACCACAGGCCTTTTTTAAAGCCATTTAACCAATAACCCATTCAAAAAACTCATTGACTTTGGGTAGATGGTACCGGAAGTGATAAAATGCTAACTCATTTCCAGGTTTTGGCCCTCAAAAATACATAATTTCTGCAGCACATCCCTGCATGTTAATTTAAGATACAAGAAAATATTTTAACATCGAAACAAATAGAAACTTAACTATGAAAATATGTTCTGATTAGAGATATTAGAATGGTTGCATATTTTAGAGTTCTGTGGTATGAAAATGTATAAACAATTTATGTAACAGGATTTAACCTGCCTGAATTAGGACACACTGGCTTAAAAAAAAAGTAAGAAATCCTTTTACTATGTCATCGACATTGTCAGTGTTTCTATGTCATGTGCCCCTCAGCCCCCCAGGAGAAACCGGCGGACAAAGCAGGGAAGAACCCTATGCAAGAACCTGAAGAAGAGATTGACATTGATCTGGATGCGCCAGAGACAGAAAAGGCAGCTTTGGCAATACAGAGTCAGTTCAGACGCTTCCAGAAGAAAAAGAAGTAGAAAAGGGAAGTATGAACTAAAGGATCCGTGCAGAGGACAAAAAAACCTTCCGCAATATTGGAAATGGAAAGAAATTTAATAAGGAACAAACAGAGAAAAGGGAAAAGTCAAGTGAGGGTGGGAAATTAGGGGTTTGGAAAACAAATGATAGCCCTGTGGCATCAACATGCTGGGTTGAATAGAGTTTAGGACATAAGAATAGAGAAGGATTTTCACTTTAAAAGACATTGCAGATTTTATTCTCGTTGTATTTGTCTAGATTTGTCTCAATCCTTTCTCTCCTCTCCTGTAGACATGAATATAGGTAGGAACATGTTATTGACATGCGCAACACACATCTATCATTTAATACAGTATATTTAGTATATCATCGATGCAAAATGTAATTTATATAAATGCAAGAATTCAAAGGGCAGTAATGACCAAATGGTGCACTGCACCTACAGTAAAACATGCTGGTGTGAATTAGCATAGATATGAAGTAGATTAGTTGTAAATGTATTCTTAGAGGTAGCTCTTAATTGTTTTGTTTTTTCTTTCAAAATGACGCGTTTGAAAAATAAAGCAATCTCTGTAACACCATTATCTGTTTAGCATTAGTTGACTACATTAACATGGACTAACAATTAATTACTTCTAATGCATTTATTAATCTTAGTTAATGTTAATACATTATTAAAAGCATTAACAAAGATGAATAAATATATTAACAAAGGAACTGCTTGTTGTTATTGTTAGTTTAATGCATTATTGTAAAGGTGCTAACGGAATTTCTTTATATCAACCGCAGACTAAATAATGATTATTTGATAACAGAAAAAATATAATAACCTGACATTAACAGAAGAATTAGCAATAGCAATATCTTGCATATTTCTGCATTTTGGACAGGTATTTAATCAAGACATTGTATAAAATGAAGTAGCTTGTTATTTTCAAATTGATCCCTATTCATGCAATTGGCCTTGAAATATATGTGAAACAGGTATAACATTTTTGCTCAGTTTACTGTATTTTACCGGCTGTTGAATTTAGCACAAGGTCGAGAACCTTTTTAAGTCATGTCATACTCAATGAAATGAGCATAATGCCTTTAATTTTTGCTTTATTGCCAGTTACAAGCATGCAGCGAGATCCTTGAATTTTTGGTGAGTCAAATGAAGATGATTATCAAGGAAAGTGTACCATTTGATCTATTTTAAGTGTCTTTCTCTTTCTCCTTCCCCTATAATTAAAGCGGTCTCTACAGATATCTCAGAATAGCTCATAATAATGAGAGCAGATAGACTCATGATTATCTCACAGTTAGTGGGACAAATGATGTCTGTAATTGCATTTAGACAGGTGTGATGAAAATATCATCTGTGTTTGATCGTTTTCAAATAGTCGCTGGCAATGCAATATGTTATTATTCTGTGTTTTATATAAAGGATGACACATTTTACTGTTGAACAGTTATCTTGTCCTGTATTGCCCTGTACTTCTTTTCCTGTGCATGTGCTTATGTTTGCTTAAGTGCTCTAACCTACACTTGTTTCTTTTTTCTCCGTGTGACTCAGTCTAAAATATATGCTTCAATAGCAAGAACTGTATGTTCTGAGCTGAATTGTATGTCCTAGGGGCAGTGAGTCCATGGTTATATAAAGTAAAGAGCATTATATAACATTAGTTTGTTTCTTACCATCAAACCTATTTAATTGATACTGTAAATGCATATTGCTTGTAGGCTGTAGTAGTATTTATTTAAACTTGCGATCTAAAATAATGTGTTTAAGCAGAACATTAATGCAGGTAAAGCATTAAGCACAAAGTGAAGGGTAAAAAAAGTTCCCGATTATTTCTACTTGTTATTTATAACCCAAAATATTAAGCTATTTATAGCTTTATAGCTAGTTTGCTGCTGTCCCCTGCAATGAAGCACATTCAATAGTTCATTTCAGCTTCATTTGATCATTTAATGAATGCACATTTAGGCTACTTATGTTTGGGTGCTGATGTGTAGGACATGCAAATGTTTATCTTGTGAGAGGAGATGATGCCGTCATACTTTAATAGATACTAAAAAAAAAACCTATAAACACTTAATAGCTATAAACTGTATAAATACCCCAAATACCAAACATATACAAACATTTTCTTCAACAGCAGAGGGCATTCTCTCCCATTCTTTCAGTCTTAGGCCTATGTACACACAAGCAGAGAAACATGAGGCCCTGTCACAAATGCAACAATTGATGTGAACAGCAAAGCTCGCATGCATTAAAAGTTCATGAGACTGTGTCCCATTTGTCATTTGAGGTTGCAGAAGAGTCCTCAATCCCACCTCTAGCTGTGATTTATGGCTCTGCTGCAGGTGGATTTTATCAGAGGCGCTTCAAGGACCCTTCAATGTTAGCAAAAAAAAAAAAACCTCAACACCTTTGGATGCCGTGAATGGAAGTAGGAGATTTTGTTGTCGATAGATAGATGCTTATCTCGATTTCGGCGTACGCTGAATAAACTTGTGAGGAAACATCTCACAACAATGACTCGACAGCCTGTCGGCTAATCTTCAACATGTTTGCCAATAAACATTCATTTTGGATTGAATAAATTGCTCTTTTATAAGAGAAGGGTTAGGTTATTTATTACAAAATAAATACAAAAACGCATTTTGCATTCATTAAAAAAAAAAACTTTTATGCATTGCATAAATCCAGAGAAAAATAACACCTTTTAGGAAGCATTTTTAAAAATAAATGTTAAATCATAAACAAACTACCTATTAATAGACTAACAGAAAATGCTTTTTTTTTTTTTATAAAAAATTTATATATTTACAAAAAATGAATAATACATAAAAAATAACAAAAATACATTACATCTTTGCTGCATAAAGCCCAGCATAAAAACTTTTCTTTTTTTTGTGGGCAGAGAGGAGGAAATAGGATTATAATCCAAACTTGTTTCACCTGCACATACCCCAAAGAATCATGTGTTGGAACACATGAACTACCCACTAGGTCAGCTCCAACAAATGCTCATTTAAAGTTCTCACACTCATAAAGAAAATAAAATCTAGATTTACCGAATGCCTTTTTACTTACAAATGATAGTTAGTTGTGCACTCTGTCATTACTGGTTTAAGGTGGACTCCCTTTTTTTTTTTTTTTTCCACACAAGAACAATTTGATTAATGTAAAGCCACAAAAGAATACTTCTTGGATATATTGCTGACGGAATTGAAACAAACAGATTTGTGTGTGTGTGTGTGTTGTAAACCACACTAGCCAATTGTGAGAATCTTAATTATAGACTACAGGCCGTGGGAAACAGGTTGAGGGTAAAGTTTCTGACTCAACCCTTATGCTGTGTAAGCCCTTCACATTTTTACAATGGTCTGTATTTTCACACACATTCTAATTAATTAATTTATTTACATTGTTTACAAGAGTGAACATTATTGATACACCTTAAATATTAAAGTTTAGTGGTTTGTTTTAAACCTGCAACCGTAAAAATTAATTTTGAATTTTTCGTCTGCATACTTAATGGTGATTACCATATTTAAAAAAAAATTCAGTTAAATAACAACAAGAATGTTGATTCTCGTGTGTAGCACACAGGAATAAAAGATGCATGCTGAGTGGCATCAGTTTGCATCCACTGGTATTTATTTAAAGAAATGCAAATCTCCTTGTTTTTCTCTTACTATGTCATCTTTGATTTTCCTGAATAACACAACAACAAGTGTTTATAGGCTTCTTTTCTTTCTGTCTCATTAGATTCCTCTTATAATCTGTTTTCAGCCCCTTAACATCTGTGTAAAGACTTCTATTTTCTATATTCTAAGTCTTTCCAGGTCCTTTCAATTCAACTGCTTTATTCCTTCCCACTTACCATTTTTCCTGTCAAATCTTTCAATTTAGTGCTTCTGTTGTTTCCATATGTTAGCTCACTGATAAGACCCTTTATCATTCACTCATCTCTTTGACTCCTCATTTTATTTCTTTTTTTGACATCTCTTTCTCAGCATCTCCTCTCTTGCTTCGGTTCATTTGCTGCTGCATAGTTTTCTGGTCAAGTTTCTCCTCCAACTGATCTATTTCTTGTTCAAGTAGAGCCAGTTTAACAAGATCTGACTCACAATGGTCTTCATCCTCCTCCTCGTCCTCATATTCTTCCACTTCAATTCCATCCATGGTCTTTTGAAGCTGAGTCTTCACTTTGTTTAGTTCTAGTAGGCCATGTTGAAGCTCTTTGCAGACTTCTCGGAGCTTGGAGGCAAATTTGGTCTTGGCACCTTTGCGAAGTTCATTGGAGTCTTTGGCGAGAAAGAAGACATCCAGGGCGAGGAAGAGAGTGGACATGACCCCTGTGGTGATACTGATGGCCTTGGCGGCTTTGGCAGCACCTCCAGCAACACCTAGAACTTTCACAGTGTTGATAAGCCTATCTGTGTTTATCATAAGGGCTCTACCTGCTCGTCCACCTTCCTTCATCACATGCTTTATGTTACGACTAAGACTCGTGTTGACCACACTCTCAGAGTACCCCTTAAAATCCCATTCCTGTAGGGTGTTCATTCCTTCCTACATACACAAAAGAAAAAAATCACATCAATCAGACAGAAAAACAAATAGACAAACAGATGGACTGATAGATCAACATACAGAGAGAATGATAGCCTGGCATACAAACATTTGACACACAGATGGAATGCTAAACATACCTGCATGAACTCCAGACAATCTTTGATGTTACTGATCTCATTCTGGTAGCCTTGGATCATCTTCTCCACCTTCTTGCGATCCATCTTGGATTGAACCGCATCGGTGATGTTAGCTGTGGCTGAGGTGATGCTTCCAGCTGTTGCCACACTGATACCCACCGCAGTGACGATAGTGGAAGTGCCAAAGGTGAAGGGTGCCAAGATGAGTCCAGTAATGGTGGCTATGCCCCCTGCAACACTAGCTACGCCTCCTCCAACAGCTGCACTCACAGTCTTCTTATGAAAGCTGTCAGCATTGTCTGCCAGAGCAAGCAACTCTAAAATATGATGTTGCAGAGATGCCCCACGCTGGTTGAACAGACTGACAAAGAGACGGGCGGCCCTGAACACACGGTCTGCAGCAGCCTCGACAGCCCTGACAAAACATAAAAAAAGATCAGTGGAGGCGATTAGACAATGATTTAAACTAAAATCCACATTTACTCACAGCTCCTCGTCGTCCTCCTGAAAATGTGCTGTTTCATTCCATTCACTCCAACCTGTCAAAAGTCAGTAAGTCAAATGAAGTTGCTAACAGTGATCTAAACTAGATATAGTAACAGGGATGAGGGACAAAGATTAACCAATCGTCCAACTGATTAATTTTAGTCAACTTAGATTAGGAGACTAGTCATTTTTGAAAACATATAGTTTTGCATATCCATAATAGGTAATCAGGTCATTTGACCCAACTCACCCTCAACAGTTTTCCACCAGTCCATCAGGTCATCATCCTGTGAAAAGAGAGCAAGAGAGAAATAAAAGGTTAAAATAGATATCCTAATTAACATTATTGCATAATAATGAAACAATAATGATAATATACCTCATCTGTCTCTAAAGAATTTAAATCTGTTGGGTAGGCAGCCATCTCCAGTGGCAGGATTTCAAACGTACAGTCCTGTAACATTCAGAGAATAAGATATTAATTACTATGTGATGGCATAATAATGTGTCAAATAAGTCAAGGACTGCAATAAACTCCAATGTCCATAATGTACACTCATTCACATACTCATTGCAACAATAACTCACCTCATTTGTCCCCAGTTGCTCCATTTCCATTGGCTCCTCAATCATATCTTCTTGATCTGGATCCTATATAGATTTTAGAGTATGGCAGTTGTTTTGATGTAAAATATCAAGTGATATTTTACAAAAGTGTTAACACTACCTGCGTACTGGATGAAAATGTGGACATTCTAGGTAGAGTTCTCTTCACTCTAAATGACACAACCTGAAAAAATGTGAACAGCACATGAGTTACTTCAGAATGTGAACTGACACTAAATAATTTCAGGTGCAAACAAAAAGTCAAATTCTACTACTGTTTGTGACAAGTAGAATTATGGACTTCAATTTCCTACAATATTCCTGCCTATGTATGCCACTTTTGTGACCTTCAGAAGAGAAAACAAGTACTCCTCTATTTAGAAAGTGAGAGAGAGGCTTACTTTGTTATTACTGTTAGATAGTTTCTTGTCATGGTATTTTCTGGGTACAGATTTCTATCAAATAGAGGAAACAGTTCAGCATTTGTTTCACAACATCATCTACTTTGCAGGCAACTTATAATCTTTAGCAATTTGGTAAAGTACCTTTTCAATGCCAGTGTCCAAGAATTTATAATCCCAGTCTGTAAATTCACTGTGCTCACTTAGCGGGTCCTACATATCGGATAAACTGTCATTTTAATTTGATTAAAAATGGTATAAAATCTAAATACAGTAATAAGTAATGGAAGATGCTTTACCGTTTCAGCAGGAAAACGTAAGGCTGGTTTTGGGGAACTGCGAAAAGTGCCACTTAGCTTTGCTGAGTTATCCTGCACAAAAAGGACAGTTATTGTCAATAGCAGGTGACTAAGCAATTACAATAATATACATATATCTTACTATATAATATAAATAAAAGGTTGTGATAAGCACCTTTAAGTTGTTGTTGGAGAGATATAATAGATTGTCATTACAGGCCAGCAGTTTAATGTGTAACGGTGGGCTGTCCTACAACAAGAAAGCTTGTAACTATTGTGCATTATCAACAGGAAGGCAGGAGTAGCAATACAAAAAATATACAAATCCTACAGATAAATAAAATAGACAGTCATACGTTAATTATTTTTTGTTGTAGCAATATACCTCTTCAGAAGTATCCTCAGCTCCTCTAGGAATTGTTTTGTGAAAATTAAACAGGGAATTTCCCTCCTAATGAAATGAATCTGAGAGTTAGAATGACATATTGTGTGACTTTGAATTCATTATACATGGCCAATGTGATTGTTGTTACTGAACCTACTGCCATTGTGACTTACAAGATTGCCACTGCCTGAAAAATCGTCATTTTTCAATGCTGGTTCTTCCTGTAAAGAGACAGAAGACCAGCACATTATGCAAAGCTACAAGAATTATATCAAAAATTAGACAGTTTTGCAAAATGTAAATTTTAAGACATTAATTTAAGAATAAATGATTGCATCCAAGGCTGCAGTTTTGTCACACCGTGGTGTTGTTGTTTTGTGTTTTGTTGTGATTGCCAGCTGAGAGTTCTCCATGTTGTAATGATGGCTCTTCCTGTTAAGAAAGAGAGGAAGGTAACATCAGACATACAGTATTTGTGAGCTAAACCAAAGACAAGCTTCAAAATTGCAGGTTGCATTATTCTGTGTAATGTGCAACATCAAAGCATGATTTTACTGACTGAACTGTAAAAAAAACTTGACCACAATTATAGCAATACATTTTATACAGTTTACTGTATGTTTTTGTGGACACAGGGTGGATCATCTGAGCTGTTGTGGTGTCCCTAGAGCACTAAATACTTATTTTTAAATCCAAACATATTGTGTCATTACAAACCATGTGATTCACACTGGATATTCAGTCTAAGGTGTGATGTCATGTGATGTTAGGTGTACTGTAATCACAACAAACCTTATAGCTGTGTTGGCTAGACAGACTGTCAGTGGTGGCAGTGAAGCCATCCTGAGCCAAATCTCTTATAAGTTTGCATTATCTTTCATATAAGATCATAATCGTTAGCTTAAAATGTATGTGCCACTCAACAGGCATCTCATTTGACCATGAGATTCCTCTCCTGAGGGTTTGGCTGATTTGTGGTCAATTTCACTGAGGAAGTCTCTTGCCTCCCCCTAGTGGTAAAAAATGGTACAGTTTCATGGCCTGACACTAACTGTGTGATGTAATGTCATTTTTATCTGCAAAGCATGTAGGCCTATGTAAGACACAATGGATGAAAATAGCAGCATTCTGGTACCTCAGTGCTGTTGACTCATGTTCAGGTCATTTGAACACTAATAACTGATTATATATGACTATATGAAATAGCTTCAGTTGTCTGTTATGAATAAAAATATTGGCTTAAATTGACTATTTTAATGTCTAAAAGCTCCACCAGATGTTTTACCTCTTGTGCAGGGAGTCTCGTCCATGTTTTAGTTCTTTTAAACAACCGGCTGAAACTGGCAACGTTCCCCTGATAAATGAAGACAATTTGCATTCTATAAACATTTTCATCATTAAAAGTGAAAACTATGAATCGGATATAGATTTACACCATTTATGATCAAAGTCAAGTTTATAATAAGACGACAGACCTTTGGGTTATCGTTGCCCGATGGATGATCATTAAGAGCCGACAGTTCACTTTCAGTTAGCTTGTTCTGGGAAAAGATTAAATTATTCTTCTCAGAAACATGCCACTACTATATTTACTGTATAGATTCTACATATTACTAAATCAGATTCTTCCTTGCAATCTGCCTATATTTCAAAATGTTATTTATTGTAAAGCACAATCGATGCAGATTCAGAACAGTATTCTGAGAAATCAAAACATTACATTAACTCTCAAGTGCATTAAGACAAAACATACATTAGCTTTACATACATTAACCTTAATTTTGCTGTTCTCCAACAGACCATCATTATTGCTCGTGAGTTCACCATTCTCATCCTACAGAGAAAAAAAAATAGTCAACTAACCGTTGCAAATGAAAGCCTAGATATTATGAGAGTCTAGTTACATAAAACTAATTACCTTAGTGTGAAAGCTTCCTGTTCCTACACCCTTAAACATGTACTGTCTCGCCTCAGATGAGCGCTCAACTACGTCTGAAAGCCTGGACATTGAATCAGCTTTTTTCTATAGCACAAGCAGAGGAAAAAACACACCACAAAACACAAATTGGAATGTCATTCATATATGTGGTTGCTAAAAAGTATTTGCGCATTTAAGTGTGTTATACAATGACATATGATATTGCTCACCTTAATGATCTGCTGTTTTCACACCTATGGAGGAATATTCACCATTAGTGAAGTAAATTATACTTAGAAATCCATTAATGCAGTTTATTTTTTAAATATCATGCTTTGAAATTACCTTGAAAGCACATAGCTTTTTTTGTATTTTCTGAAAAGCCAATCTAATTAGCTAATCTTTACAATATTCTCATATTATTTAGAATCATTCTAAAATATTGTGCCTTTTTTTGCTAACATACACAGTCAATGTCTTACATTTACACATAAACCTATAAAAAGAGTTTTCTCTCGCTTTGATTTTCTTGCTCTGTGTCATTCACTGGACATTTTCTGGGGTGGACTCTTCTATTTGGGATTCATGTCCATGGATGTTATTCTGTCAGACCAGGCCCACAGAGAGTAAAATTAATTATCACAACCAACTTCTTTCACAGATTATGAAGAAATGGACAATCATCTCCGGACATGTTTTAGTGGTTCATTAAATAGTTCATGACTTCCTTTTAAATATCTATAGTTCAAATAATTTCCATAATCACTTCCATAATAAATGCTTAATATACATATTAAATGCTTAATAAAATTAAATGCTTAGCCTTTTTTTGCTTATTTTTCTTTCCTTTTTAAATTTTTTACATAATCTTCATGTTCTTAATTTATAGTAAAAATGTGTTTTTCTTTTTTCTCTCTTTATTAGACACCGTATTAAATGTATTATACAAATAAACATACCTTGCCTTTTCATGTCATAATTAAACAGTTACTGGAAACATTTATTTCCTGAAATGCAACAGACATTCATAATCAAATCTCTTGTCAGCATTATTAGACCTATCTCGCAGTCAGAATTTCCATAATCACTTCCATAATAAATGCTTAATATACATATTAAATGCTTAATAAAATTAAATGCTTAGCCTTTTTTTGCTTATTTTTCTTTCCTTTTTCAATTTTTTACATAATCTTCATGTTCTTAATTTATAGTAAAAATGTGTTTTTCTTTTTTCTCTCTTTATTAGACACCGTATTAAATGTATTATACAAATAAACATACCTTGCCTTTTCATGTCATAATTAAACAGTTACTGGAAACATTTATTTCCTGAAATGCAACAGACATTCATAATCAAATCTCTTGTCAGCATTATTAGACCTATCTCGCAGTCAGAAAAAAAAAAAAAAAGGTCAAAGAAGTCTATATATTCTTCCGCTATTTTGTGGACTATTTGTGATTAGCTGACATAAAGCATTAATGGAGTTAGGTTGACTAAATTGTATTTTGTGTTTTGAGACTTCTGAGAATCTGCTTACTCCCCACTTTTTTGTTTTTAATGTTAAAAATCCATCAATTATTTTAGCAGTGTCATGTATGGCAAAGAGTGATATTTTATTATCATATGACTGTATCCTTGCCTCGTATAACCACGTTACCTCATTTAGGGGAGGTCTGAGCTTCCTGTTTCAGTTTTCCCTCTGGAATCACAATTGCACTTCTCCATTTCTAACATAAGAAAAAAAACCATGTTTACACAATGTATCATGGTAAAATAATGTAAACTATAATTATGAAGCGTTACTCAGGTAACACTGCACAGGAGTGCACTGTAAAACAATCCTCAGAGTCAGGAGCGCCAGACACTGACATGATTCATGATGACAAACGACTGCAAACAGTAGGCTACATACGCGTCAACGCCTCGCGTTCCAGGCGCTTCATTAAACGTTCGTTAAGATGCGCTTTGGTTTGCTCACTTTTTATTATTTTATTTTCAAACAACAATGTCGAATTATTTGTCTTTTTCGTTATTGTGGATTTTTCTAGTCTCAGAGAAAGCGTCTGTTCTGAAATGACACGTTGCGCGGGCGAGACAAACACAAAAATCTCTTACCGAAACATAATAGTTGATTTAATAAACATTACAGAACTGACAATCGTGACGATATTTCACCGTACTGTTTTGCCTACCTTAGGTTCCCATGCGTACTTCTAGTCTTCTACAGGGAAACGGCCTGTCAAAACTTTGTCAAGCTCCGCCCGCCGCCCGGTTAATCTGTGTTGAGTAAAGACAGCACAGCGGGGCGGTTGAGCAGGGTACTGTGACGACGGTGAATCATATCTCTTCACTTCCACTAAACAAGTAACAAGTCATATTTGTTACTTTTTGCTCAGGTACTGAGTTTTATTATAACAAATTAACCTGTTTTTTTTTGTTACATAAAGGTCACGTTAAAACCGCCTTGAAAACTTTTTAGAAAACCCATAAAAGTTATTGGAGAATAAATACAAAATGAAATAAGCACAACCTACTGCAATATTCACTGTGTGAAAATATATTTTATTGGTTTTTAAAATCACTTTAAGACTGTCACACAGTTGTGGTGACATTTCAACCATCAAAAATGTTGACACAGACAGACAGACAGACAGACAGACAGATATTTGGGCAATGGTAAATTTGCAAGTAATTAAATGTAATAAATAATTAACTAACTAATGTTCTTTATCAGGTTGTTTTACAAAATACAAAATAGCCTTATAAAAGCAGCAAATATACCCTAACAAGCAGTGGATATAAAGTCATAAAAACAAAATAAGATCCCGAATTTCCTTTGCTGTCTAATAAGGAAAGTCAGTAGCTATAGTTCTAGAACCATATAATTTTTTATATATATATCATCTAGTCTGAAAGTAAAAAATAAACTCAGGGGAGTGTTTACAGAGCTTTTCAAGATGGTTTGTCTTCTTTCATAGTGGTGGTCAACCGCAACTCATCTCGGATTATGTTAAATTCCATCAAGCCCTCATGCAGCTGATCTGCCACCTCTCTAATCTTGGCAGCAAATTCTGACTTTGCACCATTTTTCAGCTCATGGGAGTCCTTGGCCACAAAATAGATGTCCATCCCGACAAAAAGCCCTGTCAGAACACCTGTGGATATACTAGCGATCTGCACAGCACGTGCCGCAGTGGTTCCGGCCGCGTTGGCTATCTGCATCACACGCATAATCTCATTGGCATTGGTGAGAATAGCTTTGCCCGCCATGGCGCCATCCTCGTAGATATTGTTTAAACAAGGGTAGTCTTGATTATATGCATGCTTCTTCATCTTATTCCGGTTGAACTTGCTTAGGTTTGTAATGCCTTGCTTGATAAACTTCATGCATTTGTTAAGGTCAGCCATCTTCGCCTGGTAGTCTTCCACAATGCGCTCCACCTTCTTGCGATCCAAAGAGTTGTTGACGGTACTGGATATCCCAGCAGATGCAGAGGTAAGACCACCTGCCATGGCAACACCCAGACCAACCGCAGTGACGATCAGAGAGGTTCCCATTGTGAAAGGTGCTAAGATGAGGCCAGTTATGGTAGCAACACCTCCCACAGCACTGGTGGAGCCACCAGTGATCTGGGCAATCTTGGTTTTCTTGTTGAAGCGGTCCAGGCCATCAGCAATGGCATGCAGGTCGATCACGTGCTGCCACAGTCCTTCTGCCCGTTCTGAGAAAAGTTTGTTAAACACACGTATGCCCTTTTGCACCTTTTCAGCTGTTACAGCAAAAGCCCTGAGAAAAAGACAATTGGTCAGTCAAATTTACTTTGTCATGTCACATGCACACAGAATGAATTGGGAATTACTTGGCTTCCTCTTTCTCTGTCATGTTGTCACATTTGGGCATGTCCTCCCATTCTAAATTGGTAAAAACAAAAAGAGAGGAAAATAACTAAGAATATCATGTCCAGATCATGATGGACCATCTATCAGAACTTTATTAAGAATTAATTACTGTTAATTAGATTACATAATAAGTATGTGGGGTGGGTGTTTCTGAAAGTAGACAAACAGGGTAGGAAAACTCACGTTCCACAGTGTTCCACCAATCCATGAGGCCATCAAGTTCCTGTGACAGACATATTTAGGATGACTAAAAAATTTTCTTTTTAGAAAACAAAGGCATGGATCTTTATTTATAGAACCAACCTCCTCATCTTCTCTCTGAGTTTCACTTAAACAGAACTCATCCAGCCATTCCATGAGGGACTTCTTGGGGTCTTTAGTCTTAGGGGGAAAAAACAACAACAACAGAAAGTAGATTGGACAATTACGTGTAAAAGGGAACTTGAAGGGAAAATTCCAATGCAGAAACCAACAGAAATTGCAGAAGTTGTGAGTCAAGTAGGAAGGTAGTGTGTTTGTGTGGTTTTGTTTTTTGTAACAGATTGCAAAAATCACTATTTGGTGTTGTAAGCTGATTTTTTTTTTTTTTTGCTTGATGAGTAAAAAAAATAGTAATTGTTAATTTTTTAATCAAGATGCAAAATAATAGAAGCACAGAATGCTTGCTTTAGAGACACAACTTTTCTTATTAATGTTTGCAGACATATAGAATTCCACTATTTGTGCAACTGTTAGGCAAGCCAATGCATGGCTCATTTATTGTCACCTGACCTGTAGCGTAAAACAGTTTATGAAGGCTTCAGTGGGTTTTTATATTTAGGATACCACATCTCTCAGTTCTCATTCTTTGCCTGGTTGAGTCTTGTTTTCAGTGTCACGAGAGTTATTGATTAAAAGAACTGCTAGGACATTACAGCACCTCTGCAAGGTCACTGCCACTGTCTCCATTTTGGTTTCCATTCTTCTGAGTTGTTTTGTTCTGAAATTTCTGAAACAGCACGGTTTCATTAACTAACAACTGTGAGCATATTAAAAAAGTAAACATGTAAAAATGTTTACCTTTGCTGCAATCTGGGGCATAAATGGATTTCTGGGTTTCTTCTTTTGTCCCTTTTGCTGTAAAAATGTCATATGGTTTAAAGCTGTTTGACTGGGATGAAGTCCAGATCACCTGTTTTGGTTCTCTGAAAACATGCAATGTTAAGGCCATCAAAATTGACTCAAAATGGTAAAATGGGTGCTTACTTTTGGATTCTCCTCTTCTCCAGGTGTCTCAGCCACTTTGTCAGACTTCTTTTCCATGATTTCATTGCTAGTGTCCTGTAACGATGAGTAGAATGCATATAACCCTATGATTCAGAAATTACTTTAAAAGTGTTTATCTGGCCTATAATCTGTATTTATGAAAAAAGTGCAGATTTACAAAACAGAAATGCCATTAAAAAAACTTTAGTTAACCTTTCATGTTTGCCTGACAAAACAGCACAATTTGCTGCATGTTTCAGACAAGTATTTAAATTGTAGCCTCACAATTTGCTTTGTTATTGAACTACTTTATTCGACCTCAGCTGGATGATCTTATACAACAATTTGAGTCATATTCCACCCAGCATTCTGATGTGCATGTGTCTACTTGCCTTTTATCTTTGGTTACTGCTATTTAGGCTATGCCAATAAAAAAATCAAAAAGTATTGCTGAAAAAGCCCAAAGGTATGCTCAAAGAACAGCTTCCATACCAAGCTAGACTTGCACAAGATTCCTAAACGAACAGCAGCAACTTCACCAGTCTGTTACAACATGTTTTCAATTAACCTCAAAGTTTAGGGGTAATGTCTGTACATATAAACCTAATCGAGTGTTAAAGTCTTAAAGCCTTTTTAATAAACAAACAACACAGGAATGTCACAAGAAATACATCTACAATAAAATCATGATAATAATTTTCAAATAAATATAATAATACTGTAATTTTTTATTATAAAATATTATAAAAAGAATAAAATAAAAAGCAAAAGCAGTTACATTTTCTTTACATTAGAAACCAGTGCAGAGATGAAACTGTTTATTTACCTGCTTATATGTTGGTTGGCTCTCAACATTAACCAGCTCGTCTGTATCTAATCCAGAACCTGTAACCTTGGTATAAAAGAGAAAAGTGCATTTTTGACAATAAGCATTTGATTAAAATGCCCATGCCTTTTGACATTGACTGGATTAACGGCAGTCCTAAGAGCCACCCAAAGATGTAATAAATCTGAGCTGTAATATATAATATATTCATTGCTTTTTAACATCTTTAAAAAGCAATGAATGCCCAGCCCACCTGCATAGATTTTGACTGTTTATCCTCAGGTTTCTCACAGGGCTCCAAGGACTGTTTTGTTTTTTCCATGCCCTGCTGGGGAAGCAGATGTCTTCCTATTACAACATGTTTTATCACCTATAAGAACTAGTGAAATTACAAAAAAAGATCAAGTATGTGGAACATTAAGTAAGGGTTAACTAACACACAACACATGGAGCATGCAATACATGTCAGTGTGTCAGTAAGTGAAAGTGAGAGGGACAGAGTACAGACATATAAAAGGCAGACAAGGTAAGACAAGGTATCAGTTTTAGAAAGTTCTGTGTCCATTATTAGAATGTCCTAGTAAATGATCAAGAAAGGACTGAGAGTCAGATGAGCAAAAACAGGAATATTAAACACTCATTGATGTTGCGGTCAGACCACATGCTGAAAGTTGTCTTTGAACTGAGAGGTCATCCTAAGACAGAAAGAAAAAGCTTTTTTTGTTGAAAAAGGACCTTCATGAATCAACATTATATGCTGCAGGGCAGAACAGACCCCAGATCAGCAACTTCAGGAATGATAGAAGTCAGTAGGCTATATGCTCACCAAAAATACAGTAAAAAAATAATAATAATATTGTGAAATATTATTATAATTTGAAACAACAATTTAAAATGTGATTTACATGATTTGGCAAAGCTGAATTTTCATCGGCCATCACTCCAGTCCTCAGTGTTAGGCTACGTGATTCTTCAGAAATGATTATAAACTCAGTTTATTGTCAGATTATAAACCATAAAACACCAAGAGACATGTATGCACTAAAACCGCTTCTGAAATTCTGGCATACCTAGGTAAAACATGGATATATTGGGGACAAAATAGAGGTGACAGCAAGGGTATTTGAGAAATGAAATCAAAGTAACGGCTGTTAGTCAGTCCTGCTGCCTCATGCTAATTTGTCAACATCAACAGAGTCAAGGCAAATCACGGGATTTAACTTTCAGGATTCAGGTCTTTTCCTGAATATGACAGTGCTTTCCCACCATACATATTCAATTTTGTATAATTTGTTAAAATAAACGGCACAAAAAAGTTCGAATAACAAGACATGCCCTAACGTTACTTACCACACACTTCCCAGAGAAAAAAATGCCTTAAAGGAGCAGGGCGAAAGAGAAACAAATCTGTGGTCTGTCTATGAAATGAAAAAAATATACAACTGTAGGCTAATACAGTACTTATGTCTTGCAGTGTAAAGTAGCGAATGTTATTAACTCCGCCCTTTCTTGCCGTGTTTGTTGTGTCTGTAAATCCATGGACGGCAGTCAGGTGCTGCTAGTCAGGCTTTCTTCACTCAGAGACTGCTGGTCAGATAGTGTGTGTGTGTGTGTGTGAGTGAGAGAGAGAGAGAGAGAGAGAGAGAGAGAGAGAGCGAGAGAGAGAGAGAGAGCGAGAGAGAGAGAGAGAGACCTACTTAACCATTATTTTGTTAACAAATTTGTACCAAAAATTGAGTTATTCTCCGGGAAAACCCGCATTGTCTTACTGGTGATGTTGGTCTACCAGTATGGTCTTGTTTGATTTTTTTTTGCAGCCAGTACTTAGCCTACATAGCCTTAGGTTATTTCTAAATTTAAATTACTGAAATAGAAGCAATGAAATAGAATGTCAAGGAGTTCTTTAAGGGAAGTGCATTAGTACATTAACCCACAAGAAAAAAAATCATAATGGAATAACACAAAATAGATATAATTTTAAAGCTTAGAGTCTGAGCTTTACACTGCATGCAGGGGCGTATAGGCAGCGGACGGGCATGACGGGCATGACAGAATAAGGCCCGACCACTCTGATGAAAGGCCAGTTTATTATACAAATATAATATTTGTTAAATAATTGTTTAATCTATTTTAACACAATTAGATAACTATTATAACATCTCAAATAACTAAAGTAAATAAAATGTGTTTCTAGAAAATGTTGATAGAAAATGTTAGAAAAACAGCAGCAATGCATACGAGGGAACCGGTTCATCCTGTGAAGCCGTGAACATTTTTATTAATTTGTATATATATACATTTGGTGACTGACGCTGGCGATTAACTGCACCTGTTTCCTAATTTGTAGGCCTATTCATTTAAATAATTGAAGAAAAAAAACATCACAAAAATGAAATTTCTGATCACCGAATCGTTGAACTGTGTTGGTAACGACGGAACTTGCGACCATAGTTGGCTAACGATGCTTTTGGGAAACGCGCCCCAGTGCTGCCTAGTTCCTCTAAACCGGAGTGTACAGCCGGCGTGCGCCCCGAGCGATGAAAAAAAATAAGCATATTTTTCAAAATCACTGCATAGATCAAGAAAAAAATAGGTGACATTTGAAAGCTTGGAGTCTGACCGTTGCAATGCATGTAGCCACTTTGATTAACTCCTAACTAAGTAGTGCTGAGTTATTTGCTGTTAATTAGAATTTTTCCCCCCATAATTTATGAAAAATATTTTTTGTGCCATGTACTCTAATATGTCAGAAGCATACAGCTCAGATAGTCATGTGTCATTTGAAAGGTCTCATCGAGTAGAATAAAAGTAGTATAATTGTTTGGGGCTTTGACTAAACTTGAGTGAGGCATTACTTCAAATTCAAAACAATTTCAAAACTGTGAAGGGCTAAGAGAAGGGCTACCTTGGTTCCAAATGCTGTAACTTTTGATTACTTCACCACAAACTTTAATTCACATACAGCACATATGTTGTAATTTTTTTCATATATCATATTTAATCCTAAAAAAGTACAAATTTATACACTACTGTATGTGGGGTATTGATTGAAAGAGACTGGATGGATTCACAGTATAATGTCATTGTGATATAGAAAAGAAAACAAAATATGGGCACAAAGGTGAAAATACAAAATTAGAAAGGCAAACACAGGCAACCCACCTCAGCCATTAATTGACGACATGGTCCACAATAGTGGCCCTTATTTAATCTGATATGTGCCTATGTCCTTGGCCTCTTCTGCCTTTTCCTCTGTACCCTTCCACCATGCATCCTTACTCCTCTTCCTCTCAGCTGTTGATCCGGATCATTTCCTGGATGTTCATCCATTGTCAGAATTTGTAACTCTTGTGTTGTCCTCTGTCTATATGCTTTCCAATTGAAGGTTCATGAGATGCACCTTTCAGCCATTTCAGAGAACTGGTTTATAATTTGTTGATCTACATTCTCTTCATTAGTGAAAGTCAAGATTCACCTCCACAATTCATGGCAAATTTACAAAAAGTTTAATAGAAATGTGTAGAAAATATACTTCATCAGCTAGATCAACCAATTTGCATTTAATGACTTATACAATGAACTAATGACTAAACGTTTTGAGTGGTAAGACTATTACACAGAGAACTATATAATACATTTTAAGCAACATGACAATAGCAACTGATAATGTAGGAAACAGACAAATGTGCATAATCAGTTGCATGAATGTACCAAAGCAATCACAACTTGTTCAAAAGAATGAGAAACTGCTTTTATTTGTGCACATCAAGTGACTAGATCGGGGTTGTCCAAACTCGGTCCTGGAGGGCCGGTGTCCTGCAGAGTTTAGCTCCAACTTGCCTCAACACACCTGACTGGACGTTTCTATGCCTAGTAAGAGCTTGATTAGCTAGTTCAGGTGTGTTTAATTAGGGTTGGAGCTAAACTCTGCAGGACACCGGCCCTCCAGGACCGAGTTTGGACAGCTCTGGACTAGATAATGTGGAGGTTGAGCAAGTAGTTTTGAGAAGTTCATTTGATTCGAGAAATGCACCAAAGCGACTGAGAAAAACTAATGCTGAATGTGTGGGGTATACCAGCAGATGATTTATTTTCACCAAACATAAACATCCTTGAAGAACTGGGGAAAATAAAGATCACGGAAACAAGGATGAATCTATGGAGAAGGAAATGGGGCAACTAAGAACAGGAAATACAGCTAACATGACACTGTTTACAAATGTGTTTTTAAGAACATTAATGGAGTACCAAAAAGTAATTGGTTTCCTAGACACAGATTAATAAGTCCTAGTTTTTTTGTTTTAGTGTTAACATAACTAGCACTCATCCAAAACATTGTGGATTTTTCAAAAGTAAATCACTACCGTCCATGTATGCACTTAAGTTAATGATTATTTTAACACGAACAAAGAAGCTGGAGGACACAGTCAAAATGGATTAACTAAAAGAAAATGAAGGTAACAATTTATTACGGTTTTGTCAGACAAATCTCACATATTTAGGCTACATTTATAAACTGATGATACATGTGGCAACTTTTTTTGAGCAACATTGCTTGGGCACTTTCCCATGGAGAACGGGTAACAAATTTCTATTTGGATATTTTAGCTCAGTTGTAGGCTCTGTGTCTCACCTGGTTGCCCGTTGATGGCAACATTGCTCAAAGTTGCCCGGTGTATCATCAGCCTCACAAATGCTTATGCTTAATCTAAAACAGCATTACCATATAAAACTCTGCTGTAACTTAAATAACCACAAACATTTAGATATTTAAAATGTTGATTTTTGTCATTTATATTCATTTAATTTTTGAAACCCTAACGTAGTGCTGTTTATAAAGAATTTCAGTTATTTACTTTTTTATTGAAGGTAATCCTTTAAAAGAAACCTAGTTAAATCTATATGACGGGGGCAGTAAGTGATAATGCACGACACCTGCGCCACTCACCGGGCTCGTCCCACAGAGGAGCTCCGGAAGGATACATTTTCCCACTACTTAGCCCCTTAGCGGGTACTGGCTGCCGCTATAATTGTATTATTTAATTAATAACTTATTAATAATAAAATAAACACAAAACTTAAAATAGCGCGACAGCCCCTCACGGACGACTGCCGCGCACAAACAAAACAACATAAATCCGGGCCTGGTCCTCTCTCGTCTTGCACTGTCGTCACTCCTCCTTTTATCCTTCCATTGCTCCTCCGTGGGACTGGAGACCGGTGAGTGGCGCAGGTGTCCTGCATTAGGCCTACCACTTATTCCACCGGCCTTGCTCCGTTCCCACGGCTCTTGGCCCCGCCCCACACGTCACAAACATATATGATGTTGTAATCTAATTTAGCCTACATATTTTGTCTTATGCCGAGTTCACACTGCACGATTTTCAAACTCGTCAGATCGCCGTTGTTTTCACACTGCTTGACTATCTGGGCCAGCATTCAGTTGCTGCTGTGTTCACACTGCACGATGGATCGGCGACAGGGGGTTTCACACTGCATGACTTCACAATAGGAAGAATCGCCGACAGCTCTGTCTGGTCCGCAAACTACGTTTCACAACAAAACACATGCGAGAAGTGATAAGGAAATAACTCGAGCTGGTCAAGCAAATGTTTGTGCTTGTTTCTGTATGATATAATTGTTCATATATCTATTAAAATACTGATATTCTGGTCTATAACTCCTCCCCGAACTTCCCTCTGTGCTGTATCTTGGTCTCTCATTGGCTGTAGGTCATGGCCAATTTAGTTTTCAGTCAGAAATCATTGCACACAGTGATTGTGATTGAGCTCCAGATATTTAGCATGCCAAATATTTTGCGGGCGTCGGCGACGTGTCCGCGATTCCCTCAGATCGTGTCTTTGATAATTCACACTGCGTGATTGTCACTCGCGTGAACGAGCACCGATTTGCCTCAGATTTCGGGCATTTGTTGGCGATTTCGCAAAACCTGTCGGCGAGTGAAAAATCGGGCTAAAATCGTGCAGTGTGAACTCGGCATTACTTTCAAAAGTTTTCTCAGTTTCACTGTCGTCTATACATAGGGTATATGTCCTGACCAAACCTGGAAAACAGGTCTCATTGATTCCGCTTGTCGGAGAACGTGTTAACAGCCGTATTAAATAATAGCGATATCTATGGACTTTTAAGATAATCAGTTAAACTAGCTAGCTGTTTTTATTGTTGACGTTTTATTACATTTTTATATCTAAATGTGAAAAGAATAAAGATTAAAAAAAACTTTTAGATATCAGTCCGCATATGTGATGGGCATTGGTTATGATCTTCACTGGTATCTACTTTGAAGGCATCTTGAGTAAAACTGCTTCATATTTAACTAAGCATATGCAAAACGCTTGAACCGGAAGCGACGAGACCCGATTAACAGAATACGGATGTCTGTTGCGCATAACCCCTGTTGACCACACAGTAGTTTACACACCCTGATTTACAAACACATCTTTCTCAATACTGGAGATTCCCATGATGCAAACAAAAAAAAAAGTCTTGAATGATTTATGTAATTTTATTTTTGTAATTTTTTCATCTGATGCAGGAATTTTACAGCACCCATGAAGGGAGTGCATGTAGTCAGAGTTTTTTATCGGCTCTTCAAATGGAGTTTCTCTTATGCTATAGGAAAAGGAGATCAAATCAGTGTAAATCTCTATCCTGGATATTGGATTTTTGACAATGAACATCATCACAGCACCTTTAGTGGACATCTGCTTTTCCCCATGTGAACAGAAAATACACTAGGTTTACTCACCAGCATTTTTTTAATATCAAGATCAGGGCTCAACGCTAAGGATTGTTTGTACTGGCCCGGTCGGGTCAGTAGTTCAAATTATTACTTGCCCTGCCAATATTTTCATTGGCCCTGCCACAAAAAAATAAAATCGTTGCTGTTATCATTGTTTTTAATCAATGTTATCTTGTATTCTAATAAATTAGCTTATATGACACCAATATTTAAGATACCAATTAAATTTTACAATTCTCAATTTCAATTTTGAAACCACAGCAAAAACACTAGCCTGAGAAATATAAAGTTCATACTGAATGAACGAGCAAATGAGTAAAAGAATGATAGATAGAGAGATAGATATATAGAGTGTAATCATACATTATTGTTTTGTAAATGTGTAAATTAATTTGATAATACATTTTAAGTCAATTTGATATGTAACATACTAACTGATACTTCAGTTGTATCACCTTTGTTTACGACACCTACAGTATGAGGCATGTATACATGTAGCTAAGTCTTTCTCTAAAGCCTTTGGAAATCAAAATAGGCCTATAAGATTTTATTTTCCACAGTAAAGAAGTTCACAAAAAATCCTGGTATATTCAATTTCAGCATTATGGTAGATTTTTAGCAATGATTGACCCTTATGTGTGTCAATGTGTGCCAAACGTAACCCATAAAAGCATTGTAGTAGTGTCACACTATTCCATTATAATGCTCTTTTACTGTTTTCTGTTTGAGTGTGTCACTGATCATTAATCTCTTCATGCAATATCAATAAAGAAAATTTTATCCAATAGAATTTATAACAGAACAATATCGAAAAGAGGAATTGGGCAAAATAACTGGGCAAAACCAATTCTCTTGTATTACCATTGGTAACTGGTATTACAAATGGTAACTATTTCTTTAAGGAAGGGAAGTTTAAATATTTGTAGTCCAAAGTCTGTCAGACAGTTCAATAAATGTTGTTAGGTTTTTGTGAGGCTATGAAAGTGATCACAATCTAATAATCACAGAGAGCAGCAAAGATGAAGATGGAAATTGGCATTTTATTGCTGTGTGTGTGGACCACACTGGCTCAGGATTTAATGTCACCAACAATAGACATCCTTGCCGAACTCAAAAAGATTAAGACCATGGAGGAAAAGTTAAATGCTCTAAATGATGAAGTCAGGGAACTAAGAACCAAGAATGAAGGTACTGTATTTTTTATTTTATTTTCTAAACTGTCTGACCACTGGAGAGGCCAGTTGTTTCTTAAAGCTGATATAAAAAGGGTTTTTTCTTTTTCTTTTTTCGTCCCCAGTGTAGCTCTGACTACAAACATGACATTTAGGAAACATGCAAGGAGACTACATGAATAGCAATGATTGCATGAAAAGAAACATTAAAGTTTCTTCTCTTCACTTGCACATTTTCATCTCATCTCTTTTTTTGCAGAAAGGGCAAAAGTAGCCTTTTCAGCCTCACTGTCATCTTCAGCGGGCATCAAGTATTTTGGGCCATATGCAGAAGCAATCACTCTTGTGTACGAAAATGTATTAACTAACATTGGAAATGCTTATGACACCAATACAGGTACCACCACATTGGTCAAAGAAGTTTCAAACATGATGCTTCAGCAATTTTCAACAACAAGTTTCTACTGTTATTAACAGGAGCCTTCACTGCACCAGTAAAAGGAGTTTATTTCTTCAACTTTGTGGTCTTCAATCCTTATGACATTTCAACCGGTGTGAAACTGTTAAAGAACGGCAATTTGGTGGTCGCAGCATCAGATAACCCTCCTGGGCAAGACACTGAAGACACTACATGCAACTCAGTTAGTCTTATTCTTGAACAAGGGGACCAGATACGTCTTCAGCTCATAGAGAACCGTCGTATCTACACAGATGCACTGAGACGCAACACCTTCAGTGGACACCTACTTTTTACTATGTGAAGTTTCTGCCCATGTAAATTTCTAAAGGATGTTAGTCCAAATACAATGTTTTATTCAGATGTAAAAAATCAATGCTTGGCAAGAAAAAATAAAATCCATCAAAAGTGACAAAAATACAATAAAGTTTTAATATAGCCTACAAAAATCCTTTAAATTTGGTACCATTTTCATTAATATTAAAACCTGTCAATGAAATAATAGAGCAGTTTGATGTGTAGACATTAACAATTCTTACGTCATAATAAAATTCCATGCATGTTACATGATATTGCTAGTAAAGGCAAGTAAAAGAAACATTAGGACACTACTGAAAAGCTAAAAATGAATCTCTCTTTAACATGATTGAACAAAACCGTGTTACTCAGTACCACCTACATGCTTTTAAAGGTCACATATTGAACACTTTTCTGGAGGTTTATTTGAGGTTTTGATGTCCTTAAGAATATATATTTGCGATATAAGTACCAAAAACCATCTCAATATATTTTTACAGCTCCTCTCTCAGGAGCTCAGCTGAGAACAGATGGATTTTGGCCTGTTTAATTAATATTCATTAGCCTCTCTTCTGATTGGCCAGGCCAACCACAGGTAACTAGGGTCAGCGACATCACAGCGCTAGCTGGAGGCAGTAAAACAAAGGGGAAACTCAACTGGAGGTGGCCTATTCAAAGCAGCACAGATTCGGCTACATAAGGAGCTTAAAATATCATCTTGTTGTGATGTTGGGTGCCAGAATCGACGTAATACAGCCTCAAATTAGAAATTTGATCGCATATCTGCTGCCACTGCCAGACAAAAAACCGACGACAGCTGTGGTTAAATGCTATAAAACGAGCGGACTGGACAGAAACGATCGTCAAAAATGCTCGCGTTTGCAGCGCACACTTCTTATCAGAAAAGGTTCAATAAAATATTGTCTTTTGTTGTTATGGGCGCGTCTACAGATTTCTTGCTATATATGTTTCTTGCATCTCACGACTATGTCGTGTATGAAATAATGTCTGTGTGGATGTGCGTAAAACAACAAACTGACGATTTATATATAAGCATTTGTAATTGTATATACATTGTTGTGATTAATTGTGGCTGGAACAATAATGTAGCTGTAAAAATAGTTGCCTGCTGAAATTGAAATGTATATACATCATCATGACTAGATAGACACGGTGAGTTTGTCTTTACTATACATGTTAGATGTGATCCACCTCATAGTAACAATCCTGTCAGATCGTCCATCCTTTGAGTGACAGTGTAACAGGTTGACCGTTACACAGGTCGGCCGATCTGGTTTCGTGGTTAAAGTTAACCTTTTCGACATGTTTCCGTGTTGTTGTTGCTCAGCAATGGCATGGACACGATGTTGTCTGGGGGTTTGGCAAAAGGAGAGTGGGACGGTCGGCGGTGCTCGGGGTGGTGACTGAAGGCGGTGACTGTGTAGTTCTGACGTCAACTTTTTACAGAAGTCACAACGGTTCGTGAAAAATCACAGCTACTTTATGCAGGCTGTGTGCATTTTACTGTGGACTGACTGTTTTGAAACTTAAATGGTAGTTAAATAGCCCCTAGACCTCAGTTATCGTGAAAAAAGCCAGGAAATTTCAGTTTTGACAATATGGGACCTTTAAGTCACCTTTTTCTATTTATTTGGGATAATCCAGCATTATCACAGTGTTTTGTCTGCTGTCACGTCCCTGTGCATGGCTTACACCAATTATTGCTTCAAAATGTCTAAGGGGAAGTCGTGGCCTAATGGTTAGAGAGTCGGACTCATAACCCAAAGGTTGAGGGTTTGAGTCTCGTACCGGCAGGGATTGTAGGTGGGGGGAGTGAATGTACAGCGCTCTCTCCCACCTTCAATACCACGACTGAGGTGCCCTTGAGCAAGGCACCGAACCCCCAACTGCTCCCCGGGCGCCGCAGCATAAATGGCTGCCCACTGCTCCGGGTGTGTGTTCACGGTGTGTGTTCACTGCTCTGTGTGTGCACTTTGGATGGGTAAATGCAGAGCACTAATCCCGAGTATGGGTCACCATACTTGGCCACATGTCACGTCACTTTATAAATGTAGTTTTTGCAGTCCAGAGTCTGTTGATCTGTTTAAACAATTACGCAACTTGTGGTCTTTAAGACAAAGAGTGTTACTCAGCTGATACAACATTAGTAACAGACAGAACAGTAAATAATGTTGATTTTTATAACAGTTTTAATGCTCAATGTGTGGGCTATACCAGCAGATGATTTATTTTTACCAAACATAAACATCCTTGATGAACTGGGGAAAATAAAGATCATGGAAACAAGGATGGAATCCATGGAGAAGGAAATGGAGCGACTAAGAACAGAAAATACAGGTAATGTGGAATTTTTTACAATTTTTTTTTTTAAGAACAGAGAACTTTAATGGAGTATTAAAAAGTAACTGGTTTCCTATACACAGATTAATAAGTCCTACCATACATTTTTTTCCCAGTGCAATAGAATGTGGATTATTCAAAAGTAAATCATTGTCCATGTATGCACTGAAATGTTAATGATTGTTCATTATTTTAGCACAAACAAAAAAGCTGGAGGACACAAAGATCAAAATGGATGAGCTATTAAAAGAAAATGAAGGTATTTTGTCATTGACAAATCTCACATATTTGGGGTATATACATTTAAAAACAACCTATCAAAAATGTCAAGGCTTACAACTGATAAGAAATGTTTTTTTAAAATAAATGAATTAATTCTTATCTATTAAGGGTTATTATTATTTTAGCACAAGCAAAGGAACTGGAGACCATGCGTGGTACAACAAATGATGTAAAGAACAAAGTGGATGATCTAATAAAACAAAATGAAGGTAAAAATGTACAACCATAAATTACAATTTTGCTATTTTCTATATATGTTTCTATACGTTTAGCCTTAACAGGGGGGGGGTGCAACTGGTGCGGTCGCACCTGAGCCTTGATCTAAAACAGCATTACCATAAAAAAGTCTGCTATAATTTTAATAGCCACAAACATGAAATGCTTAAATGAAAAAAAAAATAAATGTTGAATTTTGTGATTTATATTTATCTTTATATGTTCATTTAATCTTTGAAAACCCTAAGGTAGTGCTGTTTATAAAGAATTTCAGTTATTTATTTTCTTTATTGAAGGTAATCTTTAAAAAGGAAATCATTTCTAATGATGTAATCTAATTTGCATATTTTATGTCTTAGTTTCAAAAGTGGCTTTCTCAGTTTCTCTGTCGTCCTCTAATGGACCACACAGTAGTTTACACACCCTGATTTACAAACACATCTTCCTCAGTACTGGAGATGCCTATGATGCAAACACAGGTACATTAAATCACTTCATATAGCCTGTGAATATTTTAAATCTTGAATGATTTAAGTTTTCTTTTTCGTCTGATACAGGAATTTTTACAGCACCCATGAAGGGAGTGTATGCATTCAGGGTTTTCTCAAAGGCCTACGGAAGTCAAGATAAAGCAGTTGTCGCAGGCCTATTTAGAAATGGCCAGCATGAAATTTCAACATATGCACGGCAAGACGGTGGTTTTATCGGCTCTTCAAATGGAGTTTCTTTGTTGCTGGAAAAGGGAGATAAAATCTATGTAAATCTCTATCCTGGATATTGGATTTTTGACAATGAACACCATCACAGCACCTTTAGTGGACATCTGCTTTTCCCCATGTGAACAGAAAATACACAAGGTTTACTCATTAGCATCTTTGTATATCAAGAGTGTAATTATATAAAATGTCCACATTATTGTTTTTTTTCTGTCTGTAAGACTGTGTAAATGAATTTGATAAGTAATGCATTTTACGTGAATTTGATATATAACATACTAACTAACTTCAGTTCACCTACATTTACGGCACCTACAGTATGAGGCAAGTATATGGCTAAGTTATACAAGGTCTTTCTCGAAAACCTTTGAAACTCAAAATAGGTCTATATGATATTGGTGTATTTTATTTTTCACATTAAAAACCTTATAGTGTACACTAAAAACTTTTTTTTTAGCATTGTGGTAGATTTTTTTGCAATGTTACATATTTAACAATGTGCCAGATGTAACCCATAAAAGCATTTTACCAAAATAGTTAGCATACTGTGTCATATTATTCCATTAAAATGCTCTTTTACTGTTTTCTGGAGTCACTGATCATTACGCTCTTCATGCAATATCAATAAAATATAAATAAAGAGACTTTAATCCAATCAAATTTATAGCAGAACAATATGGAAAGAAGAACTGAGCAAATAATGTTTACACAATTAAAAAAAAAAGTACAGTATTGTTTAATGGTTCATTACAAACAGTTGCCATGCTCCATTTTATAGTGACTGTCTAAAATAAATATTTCTTCAAAATGTAGTTTTTGCAGTTCAAAGTCTATTGGACAGTTCAAACAATTGCACAAGTTGTGGCCTTTAGGACTAAGACAATGGTAATTCTCTTGTATTAACTGGTATTACAAATGGTAACTATTTGTTTAAGGAAAGGAAGTTTAAATATTTGTCGTCCAAAGTCTGTCAGACTGTTCAATAAATGTTGTTAGGTTTTTGTGTGGCTACAGGAAGGTTATCACTATCTATAATAATCAGAGAAGCAATGATGAAGATGGAAGTTAGCATAGTTTAATTCCCCAAACTCCTGTTTCGTCTGTGGAAGATTCTGCAAGTTTTCTGGAGAAGGGGAAGAATCCCAGAGCAGTGGCGAGTAGCTGAAGGGGTATGGATCCCAAAGGAGGAAAACTCAACTCATATAGATCAGTTCCGCATAATCTCCCTGCTGAGCGTAGAAGTGAAGATCTTCTTCAGTGCTGTCTCCAACCGGTTATGCACCTATTCGGCAGAGAACACCTATATCGATACGTCAGTACAGAAAGGTGGAGTTGTAGGTATTCCAGGCTGCTTGGAGCACACTGGTGTAGTGACGCAGCTCATTAGGGAGGCCAGAGAGAATAAGGGCAACTTATCGGTCTTATGGCTAGACCTGGGCAAATGCATATGGTTCCATTCCTCATAAGCTGGTGCAGCATACACTAACCAGGTACCATATCCCCAGCAGAATTACAGACCTCATCAATGATTACTACAGCAATTTCAGGATGAGGGTCTATTCAGGAGCAACGACATCAAGCTGGCACAAGGTTGAGATTGGGATCATTACAGAATGTACTATTTCTGTCATACTGTTCTCACTATCCATGAATATGCTCACCAAGTCTGCTGAACCACAGTGCAGAGGCCCCACAACAAATTCGGCCCAGCGACTACCACCCATCAGGGCTTTTATGGATGATCTTACAGTCACCACAGAATCAGTCCCAGGATGTCGGTGGATTTTACAGGGCCTAAAGAAGCTAATGGAGTGGGCCCCTTTGCATTTCAAACCTGCCAATGTTTGCCTACAAAACCACCACTGGCTCTGCACCCCTTTATATAAATTCATTACTTCAGAGTTATGTGCCCTCTAGAAGCTTGTGTTCTGCAAGTGAATGACACATTATTGTGCCATCTCAAAGAGGCATAAAATCACTTTCACAGACTTTTTCATTAACTGTTCCCTTGTGGTGTAATGACCTGCCCAACTCAATCCGTAAGGTTTGGTTTCTGCCCATGGAAATTTTTGATGGTATGTTAACCCAAAAACGTAAAGTAGTAAAATAAACCTTTTTTTGAAGCTGTGGGGAAAAAAACAAAAACAAAACAATGCTTGGCAAGACAAAAATAAAAAAATCAAGCGACAAAAATAAAAATACAAAAATACAAAAAAATTTTTTAAATGTAGTAGCATTTTCACACACTGCTTTGTATTATTGTTTGTTGATTTTGTGTTGATCATTCATTAATATTAAAGGGGTCATATGACGTTGCTAAAAATAAACATTATGTTGTGTATTTGGTGTAATGCAATGTGTTTATGCGGTTTAAGGTAAAAAAACCCGCATTATTTTCCACATAATGTACATTATTGTTGCTCCTCTATGCCCCGCCTTTCTTAAAGTCGATGTTTACAAAGCTCATCGTTCTGAAAAGCGAGGTGTGCTGTGATTGGTCAGCTATCCAGTGCGTTGTGATTGGCTAAATACCTCAAGCGTGTGACGGAAATGTTACGCCCCTTAACATACTGTGATGCCATCTCCCGGCACGACGAGACAAAACCAATAAAACCCATTACAAACTAGGTATTTATTGCATCCAGTGGGGACATAATTACTGATTATAATGACTTATACTGTGTTTTTACACGTTGCGTGTCGCGCGACGTAAACATAAAACCATGTCTGGATTTGTGATCGGAGAAACGACAAACAACAAGTGCTACTCTACACTGCTTAAAACTCGCATTTGAATCATCAGTGGCAAATTCTTTAAATATAAAAAATTTACTTACAGGCTGTGAGTCAGAAGCGCCAGACTGTCCTTGCAAAGTTGGAACTGCCCCACTTTATAGAACAGCCTTTGATCACAGACCCATTGTAGGCTATGCAGAACTGCAGGTTCAGGAAACAGTCCTCCATAAAATGCGTCACACAGCATCACACACTGCGGGCTAGATTAAGCAGCGGCCGGCGGATTCAACGAAGGAACATCCGGCGGGCATTGCTGTTCTGTTGTAAGTAATCTTAAAGATTCCTAAATGCATCTACTTTCGAATGTTCATGCAAAGAAAGAAGGCGTAACTTTTATTCTCACTGTAGTATTGTTGCTGCCACCATGTCGTGAAGGCGCTGTGTGATTCGTTGTGAAAGCGAAACTACTTTGTTTGGCCTTCCAAAAGAGGACGATATCCGCTTCGTCATGCCTGGAGCTGATCCATGCTGGTCGCTGAGGAAATACAACAACTTTTGCGCTGTGGATCGCCGGATCGGCTTTCACCGTGGACGAAGCGGAGTCCAGCCCGGGGTCGCCACATGTGGTTGCCACAAGCCCGCCGGATGCTCCTTCGTTGAATCCGCCGGTCGCTGCTTAATCTAGCCCGCCGTGTGTGATGCTGTGTGACGCATTTTATGGAGGACTGATTCCTGAACCTGCAGTTCTGCATAGCCTACAATGGGTCTGTGCACAAAGGCTGTTTCTATAAAGTGGGGCAGTTCCAACTTTGCAAGGACAGTCTGGTGCTTCTGACTCACAGCCTGTAAGTACATTTTTTATATTTAAAGAATTTGCCACTGATGATTCAAACGCGAGTAGCGCTTGTTGTTTGTCATTTCTCCGATCACAAATGCAGACATGGTTTTATGTTTACGCGGCGCGATACGCAACGCTTAAAAACACTGTACAAGTCATTATAATCAGTAATTATGTCCCCACTGGTTGCAGCAAATGCTTTGTTTGTAATGGGTTTTTATTGTTTTTTTTGTCTCGCCGTGTCATTGCTTTTCAGACCGATGAGCTTTGTAAAAATCGATGCGTTTCAGAAAGACGGGGCATAGAGGAGCAACAATAATGTACATTATGTGGAAAATAATGTTTTTCCCCCCGTTAAACCGCATAAACACATTTCATTACACCAAATACACAACATAATCTTCTTTTTAGCAACTTCATATGACCCCTTTAAAGAACCATCTCTTTCTTACCTTTTTATAATCTGAAGAAATTCTGTGAAACAAAGGTTCTTCAGATGTTAAAGATTCTTTATGGAACCATTTAGACAAAAAGGTTCTTCTATGGCATCATGAAGCACCTTTATTTTTAAGAGTGTATATTAAATTTAAATATCCAGTCAAAATCTTAACAATGTTACAAGGCCCCTAGATTGTGCTCTGGAGTCACTGATCTGAATAAAGCATGAATAAAAAGACTGATTAGAAATAGAGTGAAAGCTTTATTCAACAAAAACTAAGCATAACAATGAAGAAAATAAGAATTTGGAAAAATAATGGGGAAATAAAGGCACAGTACTGTGCAATGCTTCCTTCTGCATATTCAGGACTGCCTAGTTTAGTTATTGCTTCCGTAGTCCAAAGTCTATAAGGCAGTTTATTAAGCAAGACACTCTGTTTTTAAGACTATAAAATAACATGAATTCAGTTGATTCGGTTTAGCAACTGACAGCAAAATAATGTTGATTTTTATAGCATGTGTAATGCTCAATGTGTGGACTATACCAGCAGATTATTTTTCACCAAGCATAAACATTGTTGAAGAACTAGGGAAAATAACCATAATGGAAAAAAGGATGAAAACTATAGAGAAGGAAATGGAACGACTAAAAACAGAGAATGAAGGTAACATGACAGGATCCCACATACTGTACATGACACAAGTGCCAGTTTAAAATAAACTGCAATAGTATATTTATAAAACCATATTGCTCTACTGAAACATTATAAAATAAAGTTAAATTGCATTCTGTGGTATCACTACTAGACAAAGGTTAAGAAGGTGAATCTATATATTTGTTTGGCTTTAATTTACTGTCCATATCTTAAACTGTTTTTTTAATTATTATTTTAGAACAAGCAAAAGAACTGAAGATTTTGTATGATACAGCGATTGACACAAAGATCAAAATGGATGAACTAATAAAACAGAATTAAGGTAACAAACTATAACTTGCAAATCAAGTCGCTTTGAAAAGGATATAAAAAATGTAACTTTTTCCCCTCCACAAGAATATTAAACAGCACAACTGTTTTCAAATGTGATAATAATAATAATACAGAATATTTCTTGAGCACCAAATCAGTGTTAGAATGATTTCTGAAAAATCATGTGACAGAAGAAGACGGATTAACAGCTGTTGAAAATGTAGCTTTACCATGACAGAAATAAATTACATTTTAACCCTTAAATGCATACCTTGGGTCTTTAGCGACCCGGGACATCATTCTCTACCCTCTCTCTACCCACATTTCTTAGTATTTCTCAATCTATTAATTATAAACAATATAACAAGAAAAAAAAATTGAAATATAAAAGAATGCAAGTTTTCTGATACATTTTTTGTAAAAAGTGTATAGAGACCTGAGGTATGTAAATGTGTAAGTATTTTTTCCTGCGCAACTATATTTACATACCTGATGACTCAATATGTGCAATGCATTTTTTTTCCTCAAGGTGGCACTGTTTTGATGCACAATGATGACGTGACGATTCACTCATAATTACGGCGGGCATAAAACATATGAATATCATCAGCAAAAATTGAACTGATTTGAATGGCTTTACTGCAGAGCAATTACTATATGCAATGAAATATAAATGTCACTGTCATTTGATGCTAGATGTGGTGAATAAGCTGCCAGTGATCAAAATATTGAATATGAAGTCACTGAAAAGGATAGTTTTGAGAATAGGTTGAGATCGTGAATATGAGGCAGATGTTGAATATACGCTGGAAGCGCGCTCTGACGATGCCAGCGATGATAAAATCATCTGCTCAAATTGAACCCTTTTAAGTTTCGAAAGTTAACGAAATATGCTTTATTTTATTCTTCTGTAATTGTTCTTAAAATATCAAGAGAGTTTTTTGCTATTGCAGCAGTTAGAGATCCATCCGTGCTGGATACATAGGTCCGGGTCTCTAAAGACCCGAATATGTAATAATGATTGGCGAAACATTCATGCATTTAAGGGTTAAAACGGATTAAAATAGAAACTGTTAACATTTTAATAATATTTTACAATATTACTGATTAATTTTAATTTTAATTTAATTTTTATTTTAGAGCAAAAGAGACTTCTTTTGAGAGAGAGAGAGAGAGAGAAACCCCAAAATTCTAAACAATAGTGTATCTAATTTATAAGTTTATGTTTTAGCTTCTAAAGTGGCTTTCTTAGCCTCTCTGTTGACCTCTTTTGGATCACATAACATTGGACCCTTTCATAATGGTTTACACACCCTGATTTACAAGCATGTCTTCCTCAACACTGGAAACGCCTATGATCCAAACACAGGTGAATCAATTCATATAGTGTGAATGTATCTCTGAGATTTTCTATAACACTCTCATTTTAATGCATCTAATTAACCACTGTACGATACAGGAATCTATACAGCACCTGTGAAGGGAGGGTATGCTTTCAGGGTCTTCTCCAAGGCCTCTGGAGACAAAAACAGAGCCGGAACTGCAGGCCTGTTTAAAAATGACCAGCATATAATTTCTACATACGCACATCAAACAAGTGGTTTTATCAGCTCTTCAAATGGAGTCTCTCTGCTGCTGGAAAAAGGGGATAAAGTGAAGGTAAATCTCTATCCCGGAAAATGGATTTTCGACAATGGAGAACACCATCACACCACATTCAGTGGACATCTGCTGTTCCCCATGTGAACCTGCAGACCGTTTACTCACCCAGAATAGCTTTTTACATGTACAACCCTTAACAAAAATCAACTGACAATGTAATCAAGTGGCAGTAAAATGTATATAATAAAATCAACACAAATATTCTTCATATGGCTTAGTTTAAGGCAATATTATCATTAGTGCAAAATGCTTCATGCATGTAAAATAAAATGAAAATGTACAGAATGCAACATTACAACTGATGGAAAAAAGATTAAAGATTACGAATGTACAAATAATGACATGCAACAAGTGACTGTGTCCTTTGACTGATGTTCAGGAAATCAACCTTTCCAAGACAGGAAGTACAGCTGACCCTGCGTATCACTGCAAACAAATTTCTTGGGGTCACATGGGTTCACCTCCAGAACCTTGACAGGGCCTCCACACACAAACATGCCCACCTGTGAAATACAGAAAATGAGTAAGAAACAGAAAGGAAATTAAATAAACACTGGTATACACACCGTGCATAAAAGCAAGAATAAAAATACCTGTTTCTTAGTTCGTCTGTCCCACAGTTTGACGGTTCTGTCATGAGACGCTGAGATGATGAGGCTCTCTGTAAGCCGCAGTACACTCACTTTGTCTGTGTGTGCCTACAGACCAGTCACACAAACAATTTATCAGAAACACAAGACTGCATGATTGACATATGATCATTACATCTATGAGAGAGTATAAAGATACTTGCCGGTCTTCTTTGAGTCCAGGTGGACAGATTAGGAGGCTGGTTAAACCACATGTTCCCTTTACAATCACCACACACAAAAAAGTCTGTAGGAAAACAACAACAACAACCTGACTTAAAAACATCCAAATTGCAATGTGTTATTAGTCATAAACAGTTCACATAATGACCACTATAGGTTAATGGGTTATTGTTTGTTTGGTAGTGTTAAAGCCACCATGTAATCAAAATAGACAATTCTCTTTTTCATTATACAGCCCTGTATTCTGCTGATTTGCAAAAAAAGGCATAACATTACCTAATTTGATGCTGCGTTCAAAATATATATATATTAAAGAATTTAAAATGTATAATTTAACTTACAAACTGCAAAATAAGTGTAGAAATATGTACTACACTTTATAAATAAGCTTTTATCCTCTATAATTTTGTGTGTGTTGTTTGTATGTTATAAAGCACCCACAGATGTAGCAGAAAATATCTGCGTCATGTTTGCATTTACTTCTGTCATTTGTCATGATTCTAGATGCAGGGCGGTGTTATTTATCTGTGCACATCACTTATTTCTTAAAAATGTACATGCAGTCGTAATTTTTAATTTAAAAAAAGATTAAAAATTACTTATCAGGCCTTATTGTCTTGCTTTATAGCCTAGCCAAAATACCATAACCATGCTTTTCCTCCAGGGCTGTTTGACCTGGGCTTTACACAGTGGGAAAAAGATGGCATTCAAAACATAAAAGATCTATATACAGTATAGATGGGAAATTTGTCTCATTTAAACGATTAAAAAGTGCATTTAATATCAGTACGTACGTAATATCATACATGCCTGATCAGTTAATTCAAGGCATAATCTGATAAAATTCAAAACCTTGAACAGAATGTATTTCTGTTATATCTATATATCTATAGTGAAAATACACAGCTTATTTCCAGAGGTCTCTGCACTTTGTAAGAGAAGTAAGGTAGCAGCAGTTCTGTTTTGTTTTTGTTGTAGTAGGTTCATGTTTTGTGTTTGACTGTTTTGTGGACAGTAAAATAAACATTAAAAAATGTTCATGGGGGGGAGGGGGGGGGGAGTGACAAGTGCACTTTATGATTTTTATACATCCTGACAAATAAATTCTTTAATTCAGTACATGAAAACAGGTGTACCGTTCTGCGCTGCTGCGGCTGTGATCCAGGAGCTGACCTGTGCCGCCCTCTGGATTGCAGTTTGCCTCTCTCTCCGCTGTTCCTCACTCAGCTTCTCCTGCTGCTGCTCCTCCTCCTGCTGCTCATCTATTTCCTCCTCTATCTCTAAGTCCTTTGGCTTTTTACTTATCGCATCATCACAAAAGGCTAAGAAGAAGTCTGACACACTCGGATTCAGAGACAACTAAAATGACAGATCATTTCAGATTATTATAAGAGTTTTCACAATGCCAATATCAAATGATAATGACAGATGATGAACTTACAACGAGGCCAACGTACAGAACGCCCTGTTTCTGGCCCAACAGCCAAAAGCTCTTGCTGTCATTCGCCATCACGCCGAGAGGACATACCCTTCTTAACCAGCTACAATGAAACAGACATACTGTACATTTACTTTTTATTACCCAGTAAAGGAATGTTATTTTTCACTATGTGCCACCTTGCATGGAAAAACAGGATTGCAGGACAGCTTTTATATAAAAATTGTGGTGATTACTTACTTATAAGCTGCTTTACTAGAGAACTGACCTGTGCCGCCCTCTGGATTGCAGTTTGCCTCTCTCTCCGCTGTTCCTCACTCAGCTTCTCCTGCTGCTGCTCCTCCTCCTGCTGCTCATCTATTTCCTCCTCTATCTCTAAGTCCTTTGGCTTTTTACTTATCGCATCATCACAAAAGGCTAAGAAGAAGTCTGACACACTCGGATTCAGAGACAACTAAAATGACAGATCATTTCAGATTATTATAAGAGTTTTCACAATGCCAATATCAAATGATAATGACAGATGATGAACTTACAACGAGGCCAACGTACAGAACGCCCTGTTTCTGGCCCAACAGCCAAAAGCTCTTGCTATCATTCGCCATCACGCCGAGAGGACATACCCTTCTTAACCAGCTACAATGAAACACACATACTGTACATTTACTTTTTATTACCCAGTAAAGGAATGTTATTTTTCACTATGTGCCACCTTGCATGGAAAAACAGGATTGCAGGACAGCTTTTATATAAAAATTGTGGTGATTACTTACTTATAAGCTGCTTTACTAGAGAGCACATCAGTGACTGTTCCACCCATATACACTCCAAACAGACTGCCACAGTAAAACAAAAAGCTCAAAGGAGACTCCACTTTGTATGAAGACACCTTATCGAGCCTGGAACAAAACAAAATAATAATAACCGATAAATGGCAGATATTAAAATCTATACTGTTTTGTTTAAATAAATGTAAAATAAAACAATACAAATTAAAATCAATAATTTTAATTGTGAGCAAAATGTAAAGTGAATTTAAGTAACAAATTTGCAGAACTGAAGTATGGAAGTGAAAAAGAGTTAAAAGTCATTACCCCATAATGCACTTCTTGGAGTCCCGCTCCAGCTTCCAGATACAGACAGAGCAGTCGCTGCAACTGACCGCCAGCTCATCGTCCGGCATCCCAGTGACTGCACATAAGCTGCCATCACTGACCTTCAAACAACACACACAGAGCCGTTCACTCTGACATTTCCAACTGAAAGAGGGTGCAGAGCACTCACACTGTATTTTTAATAACTGATCAACAAATAATAATGTCAGCTCCCAACCCACTTCCAGATACAGACAGAGCAGTCGCTGCAACTGACCGCCAGCTCATCGTCCGGCATCCCAGTGACTGCACATAAGCTGCCATCACTGACCTTCAAACAACACACACAGAGCCGTTCACTCTGACATTTCCAACTGAAAGAGGGTGCAGAGCACTCACACTGCATTTTTAATAACTGATCAACAAATAATAATGTCAGCTCCCAACCCATGATTACCTTCTTACAGTAAACTATTGAATTCTGATGCCATATCTCCAATCTGCCTGTGTCATAACCACACACCATGAGATCATCAGTACCCAGGAAGTACACAACTCTGACAATGCCTTTCTGGCAGCGAGGGGTTTCTGTGGATGAATGTACATAAAAAAAGTTAAGTTAATAATATCAAACAAATGCTATATTTGGATGCACTGCTATAGTTTCACAAGAAAACAAGTGTTGCGATTTTTGCATCAATTAAGATTCTGCTTTTTTGACCATTCTGTCATACCCATTGCTGTGGTGACGCTCCATGACCTGAGGGAACGATCAGCTGAGACAGTGAGAAACTCCAGCGGTCCGGTCTTTTTGCACACTAAAGACTGGATTTCTGCACTGTGTCCATGCAGAGTGTTGTGATGCTGTACCTATGAAAAAATTTTTGGGAATAAATTAGGGATGCACTGATATTAAAATTCTGGCTGATACAGATGAGAATTATTTTCATTTTATGCCAATAGCAACAAATGTTGATGTTGGCCAAAATTCTATACAATATTGAAATTCTATGCTATACTGTATAAATAAAAATAAAACACTTAAATTAAATATATTGATACCATACTAGTCATCAGTCGATATTATGCATGACAAGAATTAATGTCAGGATCCTGCCCTGTTTGTTTTGCCACTGTTTAATGTTTCCTTGTTTGTGTTGTGTGTGAGCACATGGCTCTGTCTTTGTTGTTGTCTGCCATGTGCCGCATCATCACAAAAGGCTAAGAAGAAGTCTGACACACTCGGATTCAGAGACAACTAAAATGACAGATCATTTCAGATTATTATAAGAGTTTTCACAATGCCAATATCAAATGATAATGACAGATGATGAACTTACAACGAGGCCAACGTACAGAACGCCCTGTTTCTGGCCCAACAGCCAAAAGCTCTTGCTGTCATTCGCCATCACGCCGAGAGGACATACCCTTCTTAACCAGCTACAATGAAACAGACATACTGTACATTTACTTTTTATTACCCAGTAAAGGAATGTTATTTTTCACTATGTGCCACCTTGCATGGAAAAACAGGATTGCAGGACAGCTTTTATATAAAAATTGTGGTGATTACTTACTTATAAGCTGCTTTACTAGAGAGCACATCAGTGACTGTTCCACCCATATACACTCCAAACAGACTGCCACAGTAAAACAAAAAGCTCAAAGGAGACTCCACTTTGTATGAAGACACCTTATCGAGCCTGGAACAAAACAAAATAATAATAACCGATAAATGGCAGATATTAAAATCTATACTGTTTTGTTTAAATAAATGTAAAATAAAACAATACAAATTAAAATCAATAATTTTAATTGTGAGCAAAATGTAAAGTGAATTTAAGTAACAAATTTGCAGAACTGAAGTATGGAAGTGAAAAAGAGTTAAAAGTCATTACCCCATAATGCACTTCTTGGAGTCCCGCTCCAGCTTCCAGATACAGACAGAGCAGTCGCTGCAACTGACCGCCAGCTCATCGTCCGGCATCCCAGTGACTGCACATAAGCTGCCATCACTGACCTTCAAACAACACACACAGAACCGTTCACTCTGACATTTTCAATTGAAAGAGGGTAAAGAGCACACTCACACTGTATTTTTAATAACTGATCAACAAATAATAATGTCAGTTCCCAACCCATGATTACCTTCTTACAGTAAACTATTGAATTCTGATGCCATATCTCCAATCTGCCTGTGTCATAACCACACACCATGAGATCATCAGTACCCAGGAAGTACACAACTCTGACAATGCCTTTCTGGCAGCGAGGGGTTTCTGTGGATGAATGTACATAAAAAAAGTTAAGTTAATAATATCAAACAAATGCTATATTTGGATGCACTGCTATAGTTTCACAAAAAAACAAGTGTTGCGATTTTTGCATCAATTAAGATTCTGCTTTTTTGACCATTCTGTCATACCCATTGCTGTGGTGACGCTCCATGACCTGAGGGAACGATCAGCTGAGACAGTGAGAAACTCCGGCGGTCCGGTCTTTTTGCACACTAAAGACTGGATTTCTGCACTGTGTCCATGCAGAGTGTTGTGATGCTGTACCTATGAAAACAATTTTTGGGAATAAATTAGGGATGCACTGATATTAAAATTCTGGCTGATACAGATGAGAATTATTTTCATTTTATGCCAATAGCAACAAATGTTGATGTTGGCCAAAATTCTATACAATATTGAAATTCTATGCTATACTGTATAAATAAAAATAAAACACTTAAATTAAATATATTGATACCATACTAGTCATCAGTCGATATTATGCATGACAAGAATTAATGTCAGGATCCTGCCCTGTTTGTTTTGCCACTGTTTAATGTTTCCTTGTTTGTGTTGTGTGTGAGCACATGGCTCTGTCTTTGTTGTTGTCTGCCATGTGCTCCTTTCGTCCTACCTCCTTGTTTCCCGTTGCCATGCCCCCTTGTTTAGTCCTCGTTTGTCTGAGTGTCGTCACCTATCCGTCTCGTTCTCTCCTTGTTTGTCTGAGTGTTCCCACCTGTTCCTCGTGTTCTCCTCTCCTTTATATGGTTCTCTCTTTCTCTCTTGTGTTGTCAGTTTGTTGTCCTAGCTTGCGTTTGTGCTTACGTCCGTATGTTTGCTAGCTCGTCTCACCTTTTATTATACGGAGTGTTCCCTGCCAAATTGTTTGTTGAGTATTAAGTTTCTTGTCAGTTCCTAGTCTAGTCTAGTCCTGTCCTGCAGGCTGAGCTACTGGTTTTCTCCCTGGGTCTGCCACACTGCTAGGCCTGTGCAGTGCCTGAGACATCACGAGTGTGGAGTGGGTGAGGTGTGTCAGGCCACTGCTGATTACCTCCAGCCTCCAGCTTCGCTGCCTTCACTGCTCTCTGGCGGTCTGCCATCCTGGACTGGACTCTGTGGCCGTTCACCCAGGCCTGCCTGTCTACAAGTCTTTCTCTGCCTACTGTTTGGACTGTATTCACTCCCCTCCTCACCATCTCTCGTCTTGTCTGTCTAATAAATCTGTAACACACTCTGCATTTGAGTCCTCCCTCCAGATCCCTGACAATTAACCTCTGGAAATTATTTAAAAGATCTGATTTGCTTGCTAGCTCGTCTCACCTTTTATTATACGGAGTGTTCCCTGCCAAATTGTTTGTTGAGTATTAAGTTTCTTGTCAGTTCCTAGTCTAGTCTAGTCCTGTCCTGCAGGCTGAGCTACTGGTTTTCTCCCTGGGTCTGCCACACTGCTAGGCCTGTGCAGTGCCTGAGACATCACGAGTGTGGAGTGGGTGAGGTGTGTCAGGCCACTGCTGATTACCTCCAGCCTCCAGCTTCGCTGCCTTCACTGCTCTCTGGCGGTCTGCCATCCTGGACTGGACTCTGTGGCCGTTCACCCAGGCCTGCCTGTCTACAAGTCTTTCTCTGCCTACTGTTTGGACTGTATTCACTCCCCTCCTCACCATCTCTCGTCTTGTCTGTCTAATAAATCTGTAACACACACTCTGCATTTGAGTCCTCCCTCCAGATCCCTGACAATTAACCTCTGGAAATTATTTAAAAGATCTGATTTGCTTTTAATTTTTTTTTTTTTTTTTTAAAGAATCTAACTAAACAAACTATTAATGAAAAAAATTGTTACCTGCAGTGGATGCCAGAGTTTAACAGTTCCATCTTCTGATGCTGAAGCTACCAGTAAGTCTTCTGGTTTCAAATTCTTTTCCAGATCTGTGTGCAAAAAATTGTTTTGCTTAAAATATTTCTGTGTGAGGAAGATACATACCCATATTTAGATATCAGGCAGCTATTTGTGTGTGTTAGTCACTGACTGTACCTGAGACAACAGTGCAGTGATGGAGACGTGACTTGTGGGCCTGGATCCTGGTGATTTCTACCCCTGATTCCCACTTCCAAACCATCAGCAGTCCATCTGTGGAGCCTGCCATTACATAATCCTCCTAAAGACATTAGAAACTACATAAATATTAACAGGTTACACTTCTGTATGTCTTTGCAACATGGCACAGCTGTCTTACCCAACAGCACAATGTGCTCAGCGATGAACTAGAGAGGATCTCTCTCAACAAACGTCCTGTTTGGATATCCCACATCCGCAGCTTACTGGAGCAGCTGAGCTGAGGTGACAGAGAGGTTTTGTATTCAGTTACAGACACACAGAGTCAGATGCTGATAACATGAACTAAACAGCACTTTGTAAATGGCTTTCTCACCACAGCAGATGATGTCCAAGCACATCCTGTAATCCAGTCTCCATGGCAATTGGAAATGGACTGGGAAAGAACTGGAGGAGAAGCGTTTACCTTCCATATCATCAAAGCCTATTAGAAAAGATTGTGATTAAATTGAGTATGACAGAAATTGTGTATTTTCTTCAATTTCTTCCAGTAATGAATAGGCAGTGGAGCAAGTACCTGATCTTTTCCTCCTGACAGCAACTCTTTCCCATCAGGACTGAAAGCAAGGCATGTGACCCCTCCATTGTGACCTCTCAGAATACACATCACCTTTGGGTCAATCCAGGGCTTAGAAGTCAACATATCCTTCAACCACAGAGCAATAGTGAAGTCATCTAAAACAAAACAATATTTTAAATAAAATAATTTTAATAAAAAAAAAATGAAATGTATGCATTAAGCAGATATAAATTATAAAAATTGGCAGATATATAATAAAAATAACATCCTGTAATCCAGACTCCATGGCAATTGGAAATGGACTGGGAAAGAACTGGAGGAGAAGCGTTTACCTTCCATATCATCAAAGCCTATTAGAAAAGATTGTGATTAAATTGAGTATGACAGAAATTGTGTATTTTCTTCAATTTCTTCCAGTAATGAATAGGCAGTGGAGCAAGTACCTGATCTTTTCCTCCTGACAGCAACTCTTTCCCATCAGGACTGAAAGCAAGGCATGTGACCCCTCCATTGTGACCTCTCAGAATACACATCACCTTTGGGTCAATCCAGGGCTTAGAAGTCAACATATCCTTCAACCACAGAGCAATAGTGAAGTCATCTAAAACAAAACAATATTTTAAATAAAATAATTTTAATTAAAAAAAAAATTAAATGTATGCATTAAGCAGATATAAATTATAAAAATTGGCAGATATATAATAAAAATATTTAAAGAGGTCATATGATGTTGCTAAAAAGAACAGTATTTGGTGTAATGAAATGTGTTTATGCGGTTTAAGGTTAAAAAAACACATTATTTTCCACACTGTACATTATTGTTTCTCCTCTATGCCCCGCCTTTCTGAAACGCGTCGATTTTTACAAAGCTCATCAGTCTGAAAAGCGAGGTGTCCTGTGATTGGCCAGCTATCCAATGCGTTGTGATTGGCCGAATACCTCAAGCGTGAGACGGAAATGTTACACCCCTACCATACTGTGATGATGCCCTGTCAGGCCGGAGCGATGATTCAAAAACATTAAAACCCATAATAAATGAGGCATTCGTTGCATCCAGTGGGGACATACTTATGGATTATAATGACTTATACCGTCTTTTTAAAGTTTTAAAATTGTAAACATTTTTACAATTTAAAGAAATTAAACATAAAACCATGTCTACTTTTGTGATCAGAGAAATGACAAACAACAAGCACTACTCTACACTGCCCAAAAAACTCGCTTTAAATATATCAAATATAAAAACTCTTTAAAAATAAAAGACGTACTTACAGTCTTCGAGTCAGAACAGCCGGCATTGTAGTCTACTCTACCAGGATCAGGAAACAGTCCTCCATAAAATGTGCTGCACACATCCGAATATTTGGGTTGAAGTGTTCTGGAACAGTGTTGTAAATACAACTTAACCACTGATTTCTAGTCGTGTGCATTTTTGGAAGGCCAAACAAAGTAGTTTCGCATTCACAACGATACAGCGTCACACACCACGGCCTACAGTGAGCAGAGGCCGGGGGATAAAATGAGGAACGGCGGGAGGGTTAGAGTGAGCAGAGGCGCGGGCTTGAGAACGGTGCGGCCGGCGATTTCGACAAAGGAGCGTCCGGAAGGGCTGGACTCCGCTTCGTCCACTGTGAAAGCCGATCCAGCGATCCACAGCGCAAAGTTGTAGTACCTCAGCAACCAGCACGGATCAGCTCCAGGCATGACGAAGCACATATCGTCCTCTTTTGGAAGGCCAAACAAAGTAGTTTCGCTTTCACAACGAAGCACACAGCGTCTTTACGACATGGCGGCGGAAACAACAAAACTACAGCGAGAATAAAAGTTATGCCTTCTTTCTTTGCGTGAACATTTGGGCGGCGTTATGCAAATCTTCCCACAGAGCGACGTAGGTATGTTGGGGCGTGTTAGAACGAGCCGTTTTAGGTAGGTGTGGCTGACTCTTAACTTTTATAAAGAATATCTCTTTGGATTTGAGACTTTAGTCTTTGCAACTTTACAGATTTTCTTTATGCACCAAGAGCTTGTAACACTCCAAAGAGAAAGGAAAAATTTTAATCGCATCATATGACCCCTTTAAATAAAAATATATTTAAAATATTTAGAATAAACCTCTAAAAACTAAAATCCATTGTTTTAAAAATGGTAAAAATGTACAGTATGAAAAAAGATATTCACTCTGAGATTTGCTAAAGATTGCATTTTACACTGTTAAGTTACTGCTTTTAAAGATTGACTTTAAGTGAGTGCTAGATGATGGCAAAGGTAATCTAAATGTAAAAATAGATTGAAATGAGCATGCAAAAACTAAATATCCAATATGGACTGAAATCAATCAACAAAGCATTGTGCACACGGACCAGACGCAGAAGCTACACAGGTGGAGTTTTGAGCCAGGGCGAGAATAGGTCCCTTCTGCACGCCAAAAGATCCTACCAACACAAGATTTTCTGGATTTTCTCCTTGACTTTCCCAGACCCTGAGACGGTGGTCCATGCCCCCCGACAGCAGAAGCTCTGTTTCTTTGGCCTCCATCCACATGAGGCAGAGCATGGACACCGGAAGGTCCTCACTGGACCAAACCTTCTCTCCTACAGCACAAAATATTTTGGCATGAGTTCTGCTTCTGCTCTATAATTACTGGAGTTGTAAGTTTTTTAAAAACTTTCTTCTTTTTATGTTGTGGTTTTTGAGAACAAGTAAGATTGAGAAGTGTGAGAATGTGATCTCTGCACATATCTTGAAACAGGATGACATGAGCACATTTGTAAATGCTGGATGTAAATGTTTATTTACCTGATTTCAAACTGAATATTCTGATACCATCATTCTGGTAACCCACAGCAGCGTATCCACCGGCTACAGCCACACACAGAGCATTAGCTTCATCCTCATTTCCACGTCTGGTGCGCTTTTGCTACAATTGATTATTAATTATTATAATATAATAATTAATTATTAATAATCATCTTTAAAGGTGCTCAACTAAAATTATTCTGATGTCTTGAAAGAAATATAAGTGCTTGCCAAAGAATAGTGTTTAAGCTTTGACTCTGCAAAATGAAACAAACCAGTGCCGTATTTGCAGTTTAATGCTATAGTTGGTTTATTTTAGAAGACATTTTTACGTGCACATTTATCAATATTTACAAAACTATATTTTGTGTGATTTCATATTTTGAATTATCTTAATTTAAGCTCCTAAATTTCACACTAAATAACAAAGTTAAATGAACAGGAATAAAATATCACACAAACATGTACAGGTATACAAGTTTAGAAGACCAATAGAGGTAAATTATTTACAAAAAGTCTGCTTGGAGTCTGCAAGTTAAGCAGTTCAGGCTGAATTCATTACAGAATTGAATGTTCATAAATGGTATAAGCAGTAAAAACATTAAAATAAGTAGCCATTAAATTTATTTTATTTAAATTTATTTATTTAGCAATGAAATTAATTTTAATTTAAGAACATGAAAGTACCTTTTCTTCTCCCAATACAGCAACAGTTTTCCCAAGACCACCAGACCATACATGAACCTAAACAACAAAAAAGTACTTTGTGCACTTTTTGTACACAGACAAAATGCTGTACATTTCTTTGGGAAATTGAAATATTGAAATAAATCCCAAATCAAATAAATAAATGAATAATACAAATAAAATAAATCTCTTCATATAAACAAACTAAGGCTTTCTGGCAACCACGATCTAAACAAAGATGATGCATACAAAAAATTAAAAATTTTAATTAGATTATAGTTCAAAATTGGAACAAAAACAGAATAGTCTGACTTCAGCTTTGTGAAGTTACGCTACATAAAGCTACATGCAGATGGGCTGAATGAGAATGCCAATTGGCTCTCTGACAGCAGGTGGCACTTATGAAACAGCAGTGATATAGTTTTTCCTTGGTCACCACTGTAAACAAAGCAGCGCTGCGCTTATAAACACTACTTAAATATGCATTATGCAGAAGGCAAGATGAAAAGATGATACCATCTAAACTTTTCTGAAGACAGTCAGTTCCCCTCAGAGATAAATTGATATAAACTCCTACCCCCAACTTTAATCATCACATATTATCAATTTCCAACAGGTTACATACCTACAAATAACTGAAAATGAAGACTGTAAGATCATATTCCTCACCACACTGTCATGTCCAGCGCTCAGCAAGAGGTTTCCTCCCTGCAGGAAGTTTAGTGACTGCGTGGAGCCATGGTGAGCATAATAACTGCCCACACAAGCAGCTGCTGCCACTGACCAGAGCCGCACTTCTCCTGACAGACAGCCTGAGCACAACATGGAGGAGCAGGGAGAGAAAGACAGACTCCGCACCGAACTCTGATGACCTAACAGAGTCTAAATAGAAGAGAAATTATACGTTTTAGTATATAAGGCATAATAACATGTCTTTGGATTCATTCCTCACCGTAACATTTTTCTGTTCAAGCCAGTTCCACAAACGAACGGCTCCATCCCAGCATCCCACTGCCACGAGCTGACCCTCAAGGTCAAAGTTCACACAGTTCAGAGGGGAGGGATTCATGAGAGAAGCCACCTCTGTGCTCTTCTGCGCTGACCACACCTGAGTACAGCCACATAAATGATGAATACTTCAAAACAGCACAACACTACATGTAGTTCAGAATTAAACTGATTTATTTCTTGGTTTCACCTTCAAGTTTAAGTCTAGTGAGACAGTAGCAAAGAGTTTTCTGTCTGGACTGACATCACATCCTGTGATCTTGCTGGAGTGAGCATTCACATGGGCAGTTCTAAAAGTGATTAAATATTTTTCACAGGTTATTCATCTTTGATTCATTTTTTTTTTTTTTTTGATAAATACATTGTACTTTTGAGTAGGACAAAAAAGTTACCTGCAACCACTTGCAACATCCCACACTTCCACCTGCCCATCAAATGAGGTTGTTACCAAAAGCTCCTCCCCAAGGAAGGCACAACTAGAAATGCCATCAACACTGCTCATCAATGACTTCACTTCCTGTTTGCAAAAATGTATGTAAAAAAAGTCAATTGTTATGTCGATTGAATTATCTTAAAAATGCAGAAAATCATAGCAGATTCCTCTTTTTTTATGCTTAACTGTTACCTGTCCAGTCTCTGTATGCAGGAAGTGAATTGTTCCGTTTCCGGTTCCAACTGCCACAAGTTTTCCATCAGGACTCACCCCCACACAACTCGGCTCAGAGTGGAAGGTGGAAACCAGCTCACTGAGCAGAAAAAACAACATTAAAACATATAAAAAACTGTAGATAAACAACCTTTGCACATAGTGGTGTCTAAGAAGTCTGAATCTACATCATTAAATTTAATCAAATTCAAAATCTAATGGAAACCTGATAAAAAAAAAAAAAATAAATAAAATCTGTTTTTTAAAAATTAAAAAAAGGCTTATAAGAAATTTTGGAAAATTCGCATAAGCAAATTTGTGACACTTACATGTTAAATTCTGAATAGCATAAATACCCATTATTAGATAGCTAAAAAACAGTATTTCTACAGGTTAGTCCCTATTGATCTGGGCTTATAAATTCAGCAAATTCTGTTTAAACTCAGCATATGAGAATAATATACTATTAACAAGGATCAATATTAGTACCTGGCTTCGTTTTTTATTGCATCTGTGCAGTTTAGCCATTTTACAGTATGTACTCCTCCATTTCTCGTCATGCTTTCCGCCCACAAATGGGCAGAGCTGTCACATGGTTCATTAAGAGCCGTTTGTACAAAGAGAGCAGGCCACTGGGAGAAGAGAAGGCTGTGACGCTTCAGAAAACTCAGACAGTCTTCAAAATCCTTCATGTTATCTGAAAAACACACATGAATTTGGTATAGGTTCACCACAGAAATTGTGATTTGTAGATTCAATACACATTCTCACTCATTGAGGACACATTATGATCATAAATCTATATTAAGTCTTTTTTCAAGTCACTATAGTTGTGTTTTTACAAGTATACAATAATAAAAAAAGTTAAAATACCTGTTGAAGTTTTCAATTGGAGCTGATGGGTCTCATATTTTTGGGCATATGTGATCTATGAAGAAGTGTACTACTGCTAAAAATCTGAAGCATTAAAGCTCTCTTACCAAACAAAATGTAGGTCTCCAGAAGTTGGTGAATAAGTCCATGCCGCACATTAGCATAGAGGAAGCAGTAACTGGACAGCAGAAAACACAAAGTCTCCCACTGATTACTGCCCATCTGAGCACAGAGAGAGAACAGACATTTCTATGAGTTTTGTAACCTCACATTGCTCACTGAAACTGAAAGATCAAAGAAAAGAGCAGGAGGACACTGACCAGGTGTGCAGGGAGTTGAGACAGAATATCAGCATCAGAGTGAAGAAATGTGTCTTTGCCCTGAGGATTTGACTGCACCCAAAGGTGAGCTGGGAAAAAGTTATACAGAAATAAATATATAAAAACATACATTACCTTTCAAACGTTTGGGATAGGTAAAACATTTTTAGGAAGAATTCTCTTATGCTCATCAAGGCTGCATTTATTTGATAAAAAATTGTGAAATATTATTACAATTTTAAATAACTGTTTTCCATTTTAGATATTTTTAAATGTAATTTGTTCCTGTGATGGTAAAGCTAAAACCATGAAATATTATTTTTTCAAGGTTCACGGATAAATAGAGAATGTTTAAAACAACAGTAGTTTTTAAAAATAAAAATCTTTTGTAACTATAACTAAGTCGCAATTTCATGCATCCTTGATGCATAAAAGTATTAATTTTCTTTACACACACACACACACACACACACACACACACACACACACAAACCTTGCTGAACCCAAAACCTTCAATCAATAGTGTATGAAACGCATAAAATGCATCATGATTTACATGTATCTTGTTTCACCTGCAATTATCAGATGACTTCTGGTTCTACTCTCCTCAGTAGACAGATACAGATGTTCAAAGGCTGACTTCACCTCTGGATGGGTCAAAATCAGGAGGTCGTCTGAGCCCTGACCATGGGACGGTCCAATTAGGCTGCATTAGAAGAATGACCAAACTAATTATTCCTTGTAAAAAACAGTAGTTACTTCTTTTGTCTATATATTTTACCGGGCTGTACCTGTGCAAAGTTCGTGCCAGCTGAGAGAATACTGCCATGGGAACACGGCTCTCTGGATGCCTCGCTATATGGAGAATTTCCTGCCATGTCACCAGCCCACCTCTGGAGTTTAAATCATTGCACATGTTCAGTATAGTGTAAAGAGAACTCTCCCGCAGTCCTGTGAAAGAAACAGATTATTGATTAGAGAAACTTTCAATACATTCAATAAAAAATAAATAAATAAATGAAATGTTGTGCTCCATGCAAAAACTATTATTTAGATAAGCGATTCAAAATAATGAAATTTAAAAAACATATAAAGAAAATAAATACATTTGTTTAAAGGAGACATATTATGCCCTTTTTACAATATGTAATATAAGTCTCTGGTGTCCCCAGAATGTGTCTGTGAAGTTTCAGCTCAAAATACTCCACAGATGGAAGCAGAAACACGCTGTTTTTCGGGCCTGTCTGTTTAAATGCAAATGAGCTGCTGCTCCCCGCCCCTTTTTCCAGAATAGAGCTCAGCTGTGCCATTACAGCTCGGACCTGGCCTGCTAAAAAACATGTTTTGGTTCTGATTATCATGTTTATCGCGCTGAAATCATGCGTTTTAAACAATATTAGTTTAAACTTCTGATAGACGGTTTTCTGAGAGCACACATCCGAAGCACAAGGACAGAAAGCGGCTGTCACAGCATGTGAGTGCTAAACTAAGTTCTCATTCACACACAAGTTTACGTTAAAAACACACGAGTTACAAAAACAGTCGGTTATGTCTGTGAAGGTAAACAGCTGGTAAACACTTTTGCACTTCTTTGCATATATTTTTGTAATTTTTTATTTTTTTGTAAAAAAACGTATTTTGCAGATTAAAGTTGGGGTAAGCGATTTTTCAAAAATGCTTTAGAAAACTGATTGAGTAGCAAAACAAACGTGTAGCCAATCAGCAGTAAGGGGCGTGTCTACTCATGATGTGGAGGAGAGAGCGTTCAGTGCACAGGACGGACATTAGCCGAGCCGAGTGACAGAGAGATAGAGATGGCGGATAAAAAAACAAAAGAGGAAAACATCTGTGGAACAAAAGAAGGCTTAAGGCAATAAGGCAAGAAGTAGGACCCGTGTAAATATCGGATCAGCTTTCCAGCGCTGGAGAGAACTCAAGGAGCGGAAGGCCTGTGATCGGACGCCGAGGTTTCTTTGTTTCTTCTTGATAGGTGAATAAAACTGTGTCTGCGCCGCAACAGCTAAAGTCTGTCTAGTACACTGGTCGGGACAAAGCGACCGTTGAAAATCATTTGAAATTTGTGTCAATACTTCATAAATAGAACGCAGCAGCAGTTTTCTGTCGGGGATTTGTCGTGTCGTGCCGCATCCAGTGTAGACCACAGATATGTATATATATCTATGGTGTGGACAGCATCACTGATTATAATGAGTTCTATAGTATTTTGTCGCGCCGCGCCAATCGCGTCCGGTGTAACATTGGTTCTGCTTTGTTTCACAGAACTAATCGTTGCCTGGGTTGCATACGTATGTGTGGGGCGGAGCTATCAAAATAGGGGCAAAACCCTTTTGGAGTAGGGGCGTGTTTGTTTTGGTGATTTCAAATGTCAACATTGGCTACCAGAAATCGCTTACCCCACCTTTAAGGGGGGTAATATTATAATGAGATCCCTTTGCAACGTCACTAGGGGAGCGAAATCAGACGCGCTAATTTTTTCAGTCGCTTGCAGAAAAAGGCTTACCAAAGCAAAGTTACTGGGTTAATCTTTTTCACATTTCCTTGGTCGGTAGATGCACCGGTGACCAGATTATAGCACTTAAAACCTGGAAAAGTCAGATTTTCATGATATGCCACCTTTACGCTTTTGGATTCTGTGTGTTAATTTCTTAATATATCCTGTGCATTACATTAATTCATTTGTTTACCAAAAAACAATATGCAATTAAAATTCTGACAACATTATGATAAAAACTATGTAAGATCTTAATATTTAATACAGTTTAAGTTAAAGTTAAAGTTTAAGCTTGATGTTTCATATTTGATAGAATCTCTCAAATCTTCCCAGGTTTAACCTTTTTTTAAACATCTATTAATGACATTTCTAAAGGTATGGTCACATTTACTTTTACTCTTGTTTGGCAAATTTTCAATTCAAATTGAAATCATGAATTTCACCTGAGGGCAAAAAATTTCCAGATGCAGATTTTGCATCGGGTTGAGGTTGGTCATGACTCATGTGAATTTACTGCTTTGATTAACAGAAAGTTGCTTGGTTTGAAAGTGACCTCTGTGTGAGCTGTGCTTCATACATTGCTACATTATTGACAATAGACAATGGGCCTTGTTGCATGTAAAATTTTACCAATATGACTGCACCTTAAGACGTACATTGGGCCACAGTTCTTTATAATAAAAATTAGCAAAACAAGTCCCTTAGTATGACCCTGAATCATTCAGTGCTATATTAGTATTACTATTTGATATTAATCACTGTATTATGGTATCCCCTTTAAAAGGATAGTTCACCCAAAAATGAAAATGTGATGTTTATCTGCTTACCCCCAGGGCATCCAAGATGTAGGTGACTTTGTTTCTTCAGTAGAACACAAACGAAGATTTTTAACTCAAACCGTTGCAGTCTGTCGGTCTTATAATGGAAGTGAATGGAAATCACGGCTTTGAGAGTAAAAAAAAAAACATACACAAACAAAACCAAATTAAACCCTGCGGCTCGTGATGATACATTGATGTGTAAAGTTGATGCCACCTATCTCTCAAATGGACCATTGACACTCCTAATTGAGATTGTAGATAGAGTGCCAATGGTCCATTTGAGAGATAGGTGGCGGTAATGCACTTATAAGTCTGCAATCTGCCGTAAAGCAAGAAGAAGAAGAAGATGCGTCATGTCCCGGCTGTCGAGGACGCGCTCAGGACAGTTCAGACATTGCAGTGCATCAGAGGTAAAAAACTATATAAATACTGTTCAGTTTCTTGCACAGACCGATCGTTTCGGGTTTAATTTGGTTTTGTTTGTGTATGGTTTTTTTTACTCTCAAAGCCGTGATTCCCATTCACTTCCATTATAAGACCGACAGACTGCAACGGTTTGAGTTAAAAATCTTTGTTTTTGTTTGTGTTCTACTGAAGAAACAAAGTCACCTACATCTTGGATGCCCTGGGGGTAAGCAGATAAACATCACATTTTCATTTTTGGGTGAACTATCCCTTTAAGAGAGGAGGGTTGGATAATTTAATTTGACAGGCCAACCCTGGACCCCTGTAGAGCTAAATTTAAAGAATTAACAAACATTGTAATACAGCAATGAATTAATTCTTGCAGAGCAATAAATACTATGTTGTTTACCAGTAGAGCTGATGGCAAGTGAAGCTAATGCCCATCCCAGATCTGCTCTGCAATATTGATTCTGCAGCTTCAGCAGACTGTGCTGCACCAGCTTACCAACTGACTGAGGAAGAGACTGGAGGCTGTCCTTCATCTACAGTAAATAACACATTTCATAATCAATTTTATGTTTAACTTCAGACTTCTTTAGCAAAATAACATTATGTGGATCACTAAAAAACAAATTTCAAAAAAATTTATTCTTTAACAATTATTTACCTTCTCAAAGGAGGCATAATTCTTAAGCTCCTCACAAGCCAAACGGAGGTAGAGTGGACTCACAGAGCCTTTCTTCATCAGCAGTGTCTGAAGCTACAGAGGAAATACAATGATAAATTTACTAGATATGCAAAAAGAGGTCTCAATTTTTTCTTATATTACTCCAACAGCAAAAGGGAAATTCACCTGTTTATTGAAAGCATAATCGCTCAGTTTCTTTCCAAACTCAACAAGCTGCTTCTGCACAATCTCGTTCTTGTCAGAAAAAGATAATTGCCCCAGTGGAAATGACACAGTACCTTTACTTTTACTAAGAGTGTTTCGTAGGGATGATTCTGAAGTAACACTCAGGACCAAACAGACACCCTGAGAGGACAACGAACACCGTGACAGGTTGATGAGAAAGTTTAATCATTTTTAACTACACTTATTTACAGTAAGTGTGCATGTTTTTGTGCGTGCATGTTCCTCTCTCTCACTTTAGGGATGTGCTGTGGGATCCATTCTGACACCCTTTGACCTCGACCATCATGGATATGGTCTGCCCCATCAACAAGCAATGCCAATGGCTTCTTTTTGTTAAACTCATTCAAGTTCAAGTGGAACTCAGACAACAAGTCTCTGTGATGCAATAAGAGAATAATTATGAAATAATTTTTCTGAAATGACGATGCATGTTACATCAGATACTTCCTTACTTATAATATGTGTTTGGAGGCAACTCCACATCGTCTTTTCTTTTCCTCAGCCATTGAACAAGACAGCGAAGAAGCTGCACAATCCTGCAAGCTGACTGGCTAGCATCTGTGGAATAGGATATGACATCACACAGAGGGGCTTTCTTGTTTTTGACAGAGGTTTTGAGTGCCTGGGACAGGGCAGCCTTAATAAACAGAAGACACAGAGAGATATTCAGATTAACGTCAGTGTTCAGAAAAATGAATACATGAAGAACGATGGTTATTTATTCAATGTATAAATACCATGAACACAGTTTTGCCCTCTCCAGGATTTCCTTCAACCATCAGAACTCCTCCTTTTTGCTGACATTCTTGAACTTTTGCTGTTGCCATAGAAATAAGCTTTGCCCTGCCGTGAAACTGCCGCTGTTGGGCATCCTGATGCACTTCCTGTTCCTTAATCTCTGAGGCCACATCTTCATCTGTCTCCTAAAAAACAAGAAAGGAAATTATGTTAAATACATTGATATGAATAGAATAAACAATTTTAAATGCAAATATAATTTAATAAAAACACTGAAATAAATTAACAATCTAACAGAAAATATAATGTAAATTAAACTAGCAAACTGAAAATATGGAAGTACTGAATTAAAATGAATACTATATTTTCAATTTAGCCATTTTTTTATTAAATTGCATACTCATATTTATTTATCCTTGACTGAGTGGCCCCCAAAAAGTGGAACTCCAAGTCTGACCTTCACAAAGAGCTGCTGTATGGCTTCCCAGATATCCACCAGCGCCGCCTTCCCAAAGTCCTCCAGGCCTTTCAGATAGGGCGTTCCATCCACCACCCCACCCCATTCACAGGGATAACTAAAAGAATATGAAGCAGTGAAAAAATAAACACATAAATACTCACTGTGCTGACAAAACAAATATACTGAACTCACTTTTCTGCCACTTTGAAGTCATTGTTCCGGATCCATGTTTTCAGGCTGTTCATTTTAGCTTCAGCTTCTTTGGATTCTGCCACAAAGTCTGTCCTCCATGCCACTGGCACCGAACTAAACACAAACACATGAAATGTAGATAATGTGACATACTGTATCTAATGTAAATCACAGAGCCTCAGAAACATCAGCTTGCAGTTGATATTGTGTTTTCCATTATTTCATTTTATGCTGCTGTCAACTACAGAGACAAAATGAATGTGATCAGCTGACAAATAATAAATGAATGTATACCTGGTGAGACGAGGTGATCTGAAGTAGAAGAACATGCGGCTCTGGGCAGAGTCTGGATACAGAGCTTGAAACTGTCGAATCTCCATTTCAGTGCTGGATAACCCATCAGGCACAGAGTTCAGCTGGCAGAGTGAAGAATGAAAACAATTCACAAAACTTCAGGACAAGGAGCCCAAACTCGTGTCATATTAGGGATGGCTCAATAGCACATTTTTGGCTTCGGTACGATACCAGAATCTGTATTGAATCAGTATACTAAATCAATACCATAGTTGACAAATGAGCAGCCTCAAAAGATAACTTTTATTAAGAGCATTGCATGAAACTCTGCAGTAACAAATGTGTACTATTATTGTTATTATTATTATTATTATTATTATTATTATTACTATTATAGTTTATTTATTACTATTATAGTCTATTATAGTTTAGTATAAATTCAATACACCATTTAAATAAGGTTGTCAATGCAGAAACTTGCAGTTAGCAGCATGACAAATGTGATATATACAAAAAGAGCGTTCCTATTATAATCACTGAAACTCAGCACCGCCAACATATTAACTGAGCGAAAACTTCCATAATAATCAATGAAGCTGACAACACTGCACAATTTAAATTGTTACAGACATGACAGAGCACCGAAGCAAAGCGTATACATTCAAAAATCACTGTTGTTAGGACAAAGTGGGTGGTTTTTTTTTCAGACAGGTCTCCATCTTTCTACAAAATGCTTACTGTTGACATGAATTAAAAAATGGGTGGCCTTTGATCTCTCTTTAGAAAACATGAAATACAGTAGGATGAAAATGTAATTTTACTTTCGGTGCACACCTTATTTGAGGTGGATAGACATGGCGATTCCCTTCAAATTTCTATTAAAGCAAATTAATGCAGTAAAATACAGCCCTAAATGCACAATTTAGAAATAGGGTTTTGTTCTTTCGGTAAAAAAAAAAGGTTTTCATGGTAAGGTTGGCATTTGCATGGAATTGCTCATTAGTGTCTTTGAAAAAAAATCTTACTGGCCCCAAACTTCTGAACGGTAGTGTACTTATACTTTTTACCTCGATTCTCTTATCTAGCTTACAAGTTTCTAGTCAAATTTTAACTGTGGTGAACATTAAACTACATGCTGTGCAGCAAGATTGTACGTGACTCATCACTTCTATCACACTTTTGATAAAGCATCTATCAGACAAATAAATGTAATTACCCAGCTGTATTGAGGAAGCTCAGGTAGGGTGGGGCAGGGCGGCACAAGGCCGTATCTCTCTCCCAGAATCCCGAGCAGCAGCTGGCTGCGGCAGACCTCCCACAGACAGAGCTCCACAGCACGGTTAGACTCCTCCTCTGTGACGCCCCAGCGCAGCTCCACTTCCTGCAGGTAGAGGTAGTGCAGAGCAGCTCGTCTCCTGAGCTCGGGAAACACGCTACGCACAAGAACATCCCTCTCCGCATGCATGTCCCTGAACGTAGAAGAGATGAACACTCGCACACCCTTCCATCTATGAAAAGAGAGAAAAGAGAAATTATGAAGACAGGTTTTATTTAGTAATATATTTTCAATACATTAATGGCCTGTCTGGTCTCCACTGGAATATATGCTGGACCACAACCACCGAACATTTGATGAACAATTTAATACAAGAAACTTATGGATTTTTTAATGGTCATACCTTAACTTCGGTGTTGCCGGCAGTAAGATGACATCAGCAGTTCTCTCAGGTTCAATTTTGCGCCCCTGTGGTGGCGGGATGTTATAGACTCTGTCCATGTGCTCCACATGCTGCAGCATCCTTGAGGAGCCTCTCTCTGAGACAAACCTACGACCACGAAACAAATCTAAATGAACATCTGAAACTCCAGCCACTGTCTATCAGAATAGATTCAAAAGTAAAGTAGTAAGAAGTAAAATACATTGTTGTTTACAAACTGACATAAGGAAGTATGGTTTTGAATTATTTCTACTTATATGCACATAAAAATAAAATCTGTAGTTACAAACAGGAAAAATTCCAGATGGGGGATTCTATGATCAACTGTTAACCTATTCTAATGCTGAAATTTCCTATTCTAATTTACGTATTTGCAACTGAAGTTTAAAATAATGACATAAGTACGGTGACCGAGAAGTGCAGAACAAATCACAATTCTGAAAACAAAAGAACAAATTACAAACGCAAATGCAAGTCTAAAAAACAAAATAACAATTCAGAAAACACAACGTATTGTATGAATTGCCCTTACTCTGGAAGAAAAAATACGGGGTGTATATTTACATTTAGTAAAAAGTTGCTGTAAAAGCATCAGTTCTAGTGGCGCAAATGGATAAGCGTGTATCACCGACTTTTTGACGCGATCGACCTCGGATTCGATCCAGGCTTTTGCCTAACTTTTTTTTCCTCCCTTTTCAAATCTCGTATTAGCAATGGATTCTATTTACACTTAGTAAAAATAGCAGTATTTTTAGCAATATGCTATTTACACTAAGTGCAAATACCTAGTTACACTGTTAAAATAGCAGGATTTCTACTATCAAGTGTACTACTTGTTGCAAATAGTGGCAATTATCTGCACTTCAGTATTGTAGTACATTATAAAACAGTATGCAATAATAACGTATTGAGTGTAAATTATAATTAAAATTTTAAATTATAAATGGATGCCACCTTATTGGTACAATAAAGCCCTCCCCACACCTACACTAACCCTATCCCATACTTTATTTTCAACTTTTTGATTATTTCCTTAATTTTTATTGACAATAAATGCCTTTACGATGTGATACGAGATTTGAAAAGGGAGGGAAAAAAAGTTCGGCAAAAGCCTGGATCGAATCCGAGGTCGATCGCGTCATAAAGTCGGTGATACACGCTTATCCATTTGCGCCACTAGAGCTGATGTTTCACAGCAACTTTTTACTAAATGTAAATATACACCCCGTATTTTTTCTTCCAGAGTAAGGGCAATTCATACAATACATTTAAACTGAGCTACTTTAATACCATCTCCGAACTTTCTACCACGACTCTGCTGTTCTTCGGCTGGTTCTTCCTGTATAGGTTGATTGACAGATGTCTCGTCCAGTCAGCAGTGAGTAATCCCAAACCAATGGCACTGTCTCAAACTATACCTACCTCTTCCGGCTTGTCTGCATTGTCCTTGTGTTTTCTGACTTGTTAATTTGTTTTCAGATTTGTCGTTGTGTTTTCTGACTTGTTATTTTGTTTTCGAATTTGTCATTGTGTTTTCTGACTTTCTATTCATAAAAGAATCTTGAAAAACATTTATTCGTTTACACAAAAATATTAAGCAGTACTGTTTTCAGCATCGATATTAATAAGATAAATAATGTTTCTTGAGCACTAAATCAGCATGCTGAAATGATTTTTGAAGGATCATGTGACATTGAAGCCTGAAGCAGTGACTGCTGAAAATTCAGCATTGCCATCACAAAAGTTACATTTTAAAATACATTCAAAAACATATTTTATTTATTTTTTATTTTCACATTTAAAAGCTTCTTTCAAAATATTTTGAAATTTTGAATGATAGTAAATACTGTAAATACTTGATAGATCCTACACTAGCTCTTACTAACAACTACAAGTTTTTTTTCTCCACAAAATAGCATCTTAAAGTATTTCACAAGAAAGAACATATACTGAGTACAACATAAAATTCAGCTAAAGATCTTACTTCAGGATCTGCTCGCTAAACCCCCAAAGCTCTATAATGTTGGAGCTCAGTTTGTATTTCAAAGTATAAATTGGAGACCTGTTCAAAACAAACAATACAAGACTTATTTGCAACTACAACTATTTTTGTGACATTTCTGCTTCAAGCAGCAGACATTTGAATGAAAACATAAAATTTCAGTTTTGGAAATCGAGATAAAACAAGTTTCACAATACTTACATTTTTCTGAGCAGCACACGTATCACAACAGTATCATGGTTGATCTGTCGATAGTTATTGATCTCCGCCATTAAATCTACGTTGGTGTAGTAACTTTCAAACACAACTATACGATCCAGCTGTGGAGGGAGATATTTTAACAGACATGTCATATGCAAAATATTTTTGATGCCTTCTGGAATAACCATAAATACAAAACCTTTGTCTTCTCTTCAGATAGCTTAGCAAAGAATGCTGCACGAGATATGCATTCGGATTGTACATAGTAGGCATTCAAATCCTGAGCCATAGAGGGACAGAGAGAGACACAGAGAGAATAAAACACAAAAAGGTGTGACATCATCAGAAAACAATGTCATAATGTCAAGAAGAACATCAAAGTGCATTATAAGTATAATATTTGACATGCAACTATACATGCTTTTTTCTACTCTTTTTACTAATAATTTAACAGTTAAAACCAATCTTTAGTGAATCTCAAAATGAATATCCATTTTCCATTCTGTAGATTACAATGTCATGATGTCTAAATACACTTGTAGAATATCAATGACTGATTTTACTTCATAGTGCTATATTACACATTTTATTATTGTTTCATTTTATTTGTTATTTTGTTTTCATTTTTTTAAGTGTTTTATTTTAATGTAAATATCAAATGGAAAAAGGGCTATTAGATTAACAAGAGTATGTTCACAATAAAAGGGAAATTCTTACCTTCAGTTGCTTCATTGCTTGTCTCACATTATCCAAAAGCACATCAGACTTCACTTTGACCTCCTGGAGGCCTTGGTGGCTAAACAGCATGACTTGGGAATCTTCGCTACAGTAGTTAATCATCAAGCATAAAAGCATTGCAGCTTCCTGTTCCTGTAGAAAATATAGTTCACCATATGTTTCATTTATACTAGAAGCCTAATTTCTAAAATGTAACAAAAATAAAAATCCACAGTCACTCTGAAAAATGCATAAAGGTACAACTATACTGTGCTGAGAAATGAAACAATAAGATGCTGTTATCTGACCGATGCTGAGAGTTTATTCTCATCGATGTTATCAGTGCTTTCAGGGGGCAAGCAGACAACATTAGCGCCACTCCAGTCCCGATCCTCTGAAATTATAGCATTATACATCACAAGAGTGCGTCCAGGAAGATTACCCCACTTTTTCCACTGTGCAGCAGAGATTTTCTGAAAGAAGAGGGGTAGAAAACAAACTCAACTCAACTTTATTTATATAGCACCACTAAAAACAACAATTGTTGACCAAGGAGCTGTACAATAAATCCAATATCATCAACATTAACACCATGAACAACATGAATTACAGCACAGAAAAGACCAGACACAACACAGTTAACTACACTTAAAAGCCAGAGAAAAAAGATGGGTTTGAGTTTTGCTTTAAACTCATACAGTGTAGGGGCAGTTCTAATAAAAACTGGTAGGTTGTTCCAGAGTTTCGGCGCAGTAACAGCAAAGGCTTGATCTCCTCTTGATTTTAATTTAGCCCAAGGAACGTCTAATAGTCTCTGGTTGGATTACCTAGAGACCTTCAAGGATTGTGAACAGATAATAAATCAAACCAATTTACAGGAGCTAACCCATTCATAGAATTAAAAAACCAGCAGCAGAACTTTAAAATCAATTCTGTAATGAATTGGGATGTAATGATATTAGTACTTGGGTAATGTGCTCTCGTTTACACACAACAGTAAGGTGCCCAGCAGCAGCATTTTGTACCATTTGGAGTCGATTAAGAGATACTTGATTAATACCCATATAATGGGAATTGCAGTAATCAAGCCTCATTGAAATAAAAGCATGAATGACCCCTTCAAAGTCCTTAAAAGAAAGAAATGGTTTTACTTTAGCTAAGACTCTAAGATGGAAAAAACTGGTTTTGACTACCGTACTAATCTGTTTGTCAAATTTGAGAGCACAATCAAAATAGGAATTCCAAACAAAAAAATAATAATAATATTCTTCACTAGTGGTTTTACACAGGAAGACAAATGGCCAAGATATAAACCAGGGGAGCTAGCAGCTTCTGAAGATTCAAAAATTATAATCTCAGTTTTGGCTTCATTAAGGGGAAGAAAATGTAGGGACATCCAGGCCTTAACATCCGCTAGACAAGCCAACAGAGCTTCCAACCCCTTGTTATTAGATCCCAGGGGCAGATAAATTTGGGCATCATCTGCATAACAATGGAAGGAGATACAATACTTCTTAAAGACGACCCTGGGGGAAGCATATACAAGGAGAATACCATTGGAGAGATAATAGAGCCTTGAGGGACACCGCACTTAAGAGGAGCTGCATGTGAAGTAAATTAATCAACACTAACAAAGAACCTTTTATTGTTGAAATATGATTGAAACTATTTGAGAGCATTTCCTTGAATGTCCACCCAGTGCTCCAAACAAGAGATCATAACAGAGTGGTCCATTGTATCAAATGCCACCCTCAGATCTAACAGCACTAACACAACAGACTTGGCAGAATCAAGAGTCAGTAAAATATCATTCAGAACTTTTACCAGTGCTGTCTCTGTGGAATTGTTTTACTTAAAACAAAAGCATTTTAAAAGTGATGTGGAATGGAAAAATCTAGAAAGAAATAATGCGTTCATTATTGTATGTTGGTAGGATGTGTGCAACACTGAAAATATGGGGTTCAAAATGTTTAAAAAAATTAAATCTTGAAATAAACAGAAATAAAGAAATACAAATTTGAAAGTACATAAAAAAAACTTATTTATAAAAATATATTTTTTAAGAAGAATGTTCTGTGGTCTCAGATTTGTGGAGCCCACTGTATATATTTGGGTCTATAATATTATAGATAAATAAGCGGTTTTGACATATTACCTCTCCTTTTTTTAGTTTCTTGTTGTGTTTGCAGCGATGCTTCCGTGTATTGTATTTGGCCAGCTGATATTCAGTGAACTGCTTAAATTTATCCACTAGAGCTTTTTTCAGGCAGGAGGGTAAAGATTTACTGAAACACTGCACAAAAACATTTAAAAAGCATGAAAAAACAAGAATACTACAATAGGAGCAAAATAAAATCCTTATTTAAACATCAACCATGTTAAAACCGTAATCGGCATATGAATATGGTACGAGTAAGATATTTAATATTAACACTTACCGTGCTATAGATTCTTGTCACCTCCAGCCAATCAGATGGCAGCTGTACAGCAGCACAAAAGTATCTTCTCAAGTGTGGTTTAGAACCAGGCAGATGGGCCGCCAGTGCCAGCAGGAAGTTGGCTGTGATATGAAGGTTTAGTTCCTGCCTAGTATAGACTGCAACCTAAAACCAATGCAAATATGCAAACCATACATGTTAACACCTGACAACATAACCCACACAAACTCATACATACAAAAACACCAACCTTTAGGAGAAACTCGGGGTCTTCTGTGGTAATCTCTGTGGCCAGAACCTTAATAACGGCCCACACACTCCTCTTCTTATCCCAGTCTTTCTGGCCCGGGGTAAAGCTCTTATTGACAAGGGAGCAGCACACCATATTCAGCAGGATGTTCTGAAGGTTAAACAAAAGAACTGTCACATTTTGTTTGATTTTACAATTACCAATTTGTCTATCCATTATCTGGTGTAAGAATTATTTAAAATATTACATATATCGTTCAAAAGTTTGGGGTCAGTAAGATTTTTAAAGAAAATAGTACATGCATTAAATTCATCAATAGTGACAATAAAGACAATTATAATGTTACACAACATTTGTATTTCAAATAAGTTCTATTCTTGTGAACTTTCTATTCATCAAATAATCCTGAAAAAAATAGCATATTAGCATTATTTAAGACTGGAGTGATGGCTGCTGAAAATCCAGCTTTTAGATTACAGAAATAAATTACATTTTCAAATAAAATGAAAAAAGTTATTTTAAATTAGAATTATTAATTATAAATTATAATTCACAATGTTATTGTTTTTACTGTACTTTACTTTTTACTTGGATATTTTTTTATCAAATAAATGCAGCTCAGAGGCTAAGCATGCAAGAGACTTCTTTCAGTTAAAAAGAAACTCTGTAATTAACCAGAAGAGGTATATATTCCTAAAATTAATGTAATTTCACAAAAACTCCATAGTTATTCATTAAAAAATAAAATAGACCTGGGTCTTAGGCTACATTGGAAGTAACCAAATCTTAAGTAACAAAGTCTTCTTCAGGTTACCCAACTGTTAATGTGAAAAATCCTAACAATCTGAATGATCTACACCTTTATTATACAGAGCATATTTTCCTTTGTAAAAACAAAAGACTAAATTTAACATGCACTTGTGTGCTGACTGTCTAAATATATTCACCAAAGAATACATATAAATAAAGCTAAAAATAAATAAGTAGGGCTAGAAGCACATTTCTAACCATTACTTAGGTTCACAGAAACCCTAGAAGTGTGCTCACTCGACTCACCTTTCTGTCCCTCAATTCCACAAGATGCTCATCCTCGCTTGCTTCAAGCACCCCAAACTCCTCATGAGGAGCTAGAGTTTGCTCCCCCTTTCCATCTAAATTCATATTCAGAACAGGCATCTCAGAAGACAGCTTCTGGTCATCCTCTTCCAAGCTTTCATGACTTGCATCCTGTTAAGATGTACAGAGAGAATATAATTAACCAGATCTGCATTTCCCAAAGGAAATACCAGTCATTGCAAGGTATTTGTAAGTTTATGCAGAAACAAAGTTTTAAATGAAATGCTATTTCATGCTGACTTAATCATAATGTGCTTTCTGTGCAGCATTGGAAAGATAAATTGTTAAAAGTGGTGAAACAGATGTATGACCTCAAAACTGAATCATCCATAAAATAAATCATGTATGTTTAGTGCTTGAGTCAAATTATTGCCAATTACTGTGTTGTTTTAATTAATAAATACTAATAAAAACTTGGGGAGATGAAAAAAATAACTTAAAATATAAATCTGAAAAAAAAGATGCTACATTAATTCACATACAGTTTTACAAAGCAATAGAAGAAATCACTCTATACCTGTCTAGGCTCCTCACTAGATCCCAGCAGCCCTTCAGGTGAGAAAAGCATGTCTTCAACTTTTCTCTTTTCATTAGAGCCCGCTTTATTCTCCATTGAAGGTGACGGATAGGAGCAGAGAGGTGGGGCAGCACTGGGAGTTGACATTTTGGAGTAAGAGAGTAAAGGATTATGGGAATAGGAGGAGGTTAAAGAGGATGAGACTGGAAAATGAAGTGAAGGCTCCATTAGGAGGGTATTCTTAGTGCTCAGCAGAGAGGAGGAAGAGGATTGTGAGCTCATCGTTGTGGATGACAGAAGAGAGGAGGTGGCCATGGTGGAGGACAGGCTGGTTGGCTGGAGTGCTGGACATTGTGAGGAGATGGAGGTCTGCTTGGCCCAGGATGGAGATGTGTGCTGATGCTGAGACAATACTGAGGGTGCTTGAGCCAGAAAGCGATTTTCCAGCCTTGAACTGCTATAGTTTCGCTGTAGTCTGGCATCTGTGTTCGCCTTCATTTCAGTCTGAAGGGGAGCCGAAGCCTTCATGTCTGCCTGGCTGAAGGAAGGAGAAACACAGAACAGGGCCTGTGTTTTTGTCCATAGACATCGCAAATGCTAAAAGTACAGCACCAAACTGATTCTTGAGAAAGTGTACAAAATATGTCCCACAACTTTTCTTTCAAACTAGATTTAAAATAATAAATTTGAACTGCAATGAGTCAGATATGATTACAAAAATGTTCTCTTAACATTTGCTTTTCTCTTTATTTCATTAAAATTATGACTATCATTCAGTACACCCGCAAAACAACAATGTACATAATTTTTTTTAAAGATAAAAGGCTACTATATCCTGGTTACACACACACTTTTTAAAGGTCTGTTTCCATGTTTTACCTTTTTATGAGTTCAACAAGATCATACAAGCTCTGGTGAGTTTTATGTTTCTGTATATAATCTTAAGTAATTCACATTTACATTTCACAATTAAGCAGACAAATAGTAATATAAAGAAACTGTTTATGATTTTAGATAATTTGCCTCTTTTTAATTAGGCCCCATTATAGCTAACAACACCAGAATTGAATTCAGTACAGTACTCAAGAATCACTAGCGTTGACAAGCATGGGTGTGTCTTATGCAAACAACAAATGTAGACAAACGTGGAAAATCAAACGCTGCCTCCACTCCTTTTCAACGCGTTTATTGAATATCAGCTTCTTTACGCACCGACCTTACTGGAACTCTGCACTGCGATGTAACGTTACCTTTATTAGTCCCTCTGCGGCTGCCGTTTGCAGTGTCCTTCCAACCACGTACGCTCCTTTCGCATTACATTTCAGAAAGTTCACTTTCCAGCCAGGGCACTTACGGTCAATTGGGACGCACCTAGTGACAGTTGAGAGTGTAGGACAAAGTCCTCTTACTTAGCTGATAATAAATGAAGAACAAACTTTGTCTTCGTAATGTTTTCCATATTGCCACATATATATAAAAGACAGATTCATCAGTACTCCCTTATCTCTATTTTTACAATCACTTCTTTATGGTCATAAATGTGCACAAACAAAAACACAGAAGTAGACAGTCCTGTCTGACACTGCAGAGCAACACTGTTGAAAATAAACGCATGCACTATATTTTGGATTATTGCCGTGCTACACGGTTCGTTCAGTGGTGTGACTAAAAAAAATAAAGAAAACAACACACCTTTAAAGCTTGGTAAGCAGCAGGTATTAGTGTAAAATGAGGTAAACCGGTGAGCTGCTGACTGTATCACGAATGTGTCACTACCGTAATGAACCGAATATAGACACATTCTAAGAAGGTTGGTGAGTGAACTTGTGAAACGTCGTTAGTCGATGCCCAAGTAGGCTACTGTTCCCTTTTTTCTTTTTTTGAAATACATGAGTCATAAGCAAACATAAATCAATGAAATAACGAAGCAAAGTTTTTCAATCTTATATAAAAAGTCATTGGGTGAAGTCAGCAAAAGTGGGAAACTTTTTGGTAAACTGTGTATTACATACAAATAAATCTATTCTACCAACACAATTTATGCTTTAAACTAATTCTGAAAGTCTCTTGTATCTCCCACTGTTTTTTTTAAAGGAACATTGGTTGTCGTTTTAAACATACAGAGATTCAAACATGTAAAGTACCCATTTTTTTCTTTGGACCTTTTCAGGTAAATTGGAAAAAAAATTATGTAGTCTGTGCTTACAAAATACAATGTCCCACAGCAGGACATTGTAGAAATAATCTTTTGCAATAGAAAATCCTCAGAATTCAAAAGAATAACTTTACAAAAATAGACATACTAGTGGATTGTGTTATTGATTGTGAACTCATAAACACTTAATGTTTCAAAAATGTCAGCAGAAGCATACATTTGAAGATTAAAGCAGTCCAAAAGAAGTACAAATTTAAACAATTAAAACACTTCAACAAAAGGACAAAAGCAAAGAAATTAATAATTTCAACAGAAGTACAATGCACTGTGTAGTATAAAATGCCATGATTTCATCTATGATGTGCCTGCTTGTGTGTAATGTACTGTGTTTGTATAGAACTGTGTGCTTAAGTGTGTGTGCTGGTTTATGTGGTTCATGATAACACATTTATTTGTATAATGACATGGGTATGATATAGGTATTACAATGTGAAGGTGGTTTATAAGGACACTTTCTGTGTCCCCATCATTCAAAAGGCTTAAAAAAAACATACAAAATTGTGTTTTTTTGAAAATCACATTTCAGAAAGTTCACTTTCCAGCCAGGGCACTTACGGTCAATTGGGACGCACCTAGTGACAGTTGAGAGTGTAGGACAAAGTCCTCTTACTTAGCTGATAATAAATGAAGAACAAACTTTGTCTTCGTAATGTTTTCCATATTGCCACATATATATAAAAGACAGATTCATCAGTACTCCCTTATCTCTATTTTTACAATCACTTCTTTATGGTCATAAATGTGCACAAACAAAAACACAGAAGTAGACAGTCCTGTCTGACACTGCAGAGCAACACTGTTGAAAATAAACGCATGCACTATATTTTGGATTATTGCCGTGCTACACGGTTCGTTCAGTGGTGTGACTAAAAAAAATAAAGAAAACAACACACCTTTAAAGCTTTGTAAGCAGCAGGTATTAGTGTAAAATGAGGTAAACCGGTGAGCTGCTGACTGTATCACGAATGTGTCACTACCGTAATGAACCGAATATAGACACATTCTAAGAAGGTTGGTGAGTGAACTTGTGAAACGTCGTTAGTCGATGCCCAAGTAGGCTACAGTTCCCTTTTTTCTTTTTTTGAAATACATGAGTCACAAGCAAACATAAATCAATGAAATAACGAAGCAAAGTTTTTCAATCTTATATAAAAAGTCATTGGGTGAAGTCAGCAAAAGTGGGAAACTTTTTGGTAAACTGTGTATTACATACAAATAAATCTATTCTACCAACACAATTTATGCTTTAAACTAATTCTGAAAGTCTCTTGTATCTCCCGCTGTTTTTTTTAAAGGAACATTGGTTGTCGTTTTAAACATACAGAGATTCAAACATGTAAAGTACCCATTTTTTTCTTTGGACCTTTTCAGGTAAATTGGAAAAAAAATTATGTAGTCTGTGCTTACAAAATACAATGTCCCACAGCAGGACATTGTAGAAATAATCTTTTGCAATAGAAAATCCTCAGAATTCAAAAGAATAACTTTACAAAAATAGACATACTAGTGGATTGTGTTATTGATTGTGAACTCATAAACACTTAATGTTTCAAAAATGTCAGCAGAAGCATACATTTGAAGATTAAAGCAGTCCAAAAGAAGTACAAATTTAAACAATTAAAACACTTCAACAAAAGGACAAAAGCAAAGAAATTAATAATTTCAACAGAAGTACAATGCACTGTGTAGTATAAAATGCCATGATTTCATCTATGATGTGCCTGCTTGTGTGTAATGTACTGTGTTTGTATAGAACTGTGTGCTTAAGTGTGTGTGCTGGTTTATGTGGTTCATGATAACACATTTATTTGTATAATGACATGGGTATGATATAGGTATTACAATGTGAAGGTGGTTTATAAGGACACTTTCTGTGTCCCCATCATTCAAAAGGCTTAAAAAAAACATACAAAATTGTGTTTTTTTGAAAATCAAAAAATGCATAAAGTTTTCTGTGAGGGGTAGGTTTAGGTGTAGGGCGACAGAAAATACAGTTTGTACAGTATAAAAACCATTACACCTATGGATACTCCCCGTAAACCATAAACACCCATATGTGTGTGTGTGTGTAACATGCTTTCTTTTCTTTTCTTTTTTTTATTAGAACAACACATGCTTTCAATTTTGTGTGTTTATGTTGTATGTTAAGTGTGGGTGAGAGCAGGCATGTGTTTGTTTACAGGCACTTTTTTTATGCACAAAAACTTAAAGGTGCAATAGTATGGAATGCCAATCCATAATTAGAAAAATAAATGTATAAAGAAATGTAAAAAAGCAAAAATAAGTAAATAAATATACAAAGAAAAGTCAAATAAAGTCTTATATCACGGGTTATTATTTTCAGTTTCACGTGGGGGGTTGTTTCGGCTGGGAAGCGTGCAATCTATAAATATATGTTGCAAAATACACATTCAAATATATAATGTCAGTATTCATAACTTCAGTCAGTTAAAACATCATAATCATGATGTGCATACAAGGATTTAAGTCTTGACGATATAAAGTAAATAAATTAGTTGTCATCAGCTTCATCATCACTTCTAACACTTTATTTCGAGATGGTCCTCATCGCAGAACACAAGATCCAGGGGGCGAGGTTGGATCCAGATCCAACTCCTCCCACCTTACATATACCTAAACCTACCTGTCTCCACCCCTGATCCCTAAACCCACCCATCTCCACCCCTAAACCTACCATCTCCATCCCCTAGATGTGGATCCGCCCCCCGCCCCCGCCCCCTGGATCTTTGTTCTGCAGCAAGGGGCTGCTGTTTGTGAGTGCCAGCTACGTTAAAAAAGTGAATAATTTAAGTAATTTGTGGATTAGTGCTTACTGGAGACGCGAACCGTTTCAAACGATTCAGTCCAATTTGGTGAACTGGTTCAACCGGTTCACGAAGAAGAACCGGTTAAATCGAACGATTCGTTCGTGAACTGGACATCACTACTGTCCTGAGACTGCTGTGATGTAAGGGTTCTGCAGCTGGGGATTATTGTGGCCACATCCAGTGTACCGAGGAAACATGCTACCTATCAGATTGTGCTACCAAAAATATATTTGGATTGTTTTAAGGGTAAGTTTATGGTAAGGGTAAGTGTGCACGGGTAGGTTTAGGGTAGGGGTAGGTATGGACATTAAAAAAAGGCCTCAAAGGCCTTCCTCCGTCTCACCAACCACCTGTATATCCTCCATCAACAACATGAACCTCCTTTTGGTCTTCCTGTACTCACTAATCTCCTGCCCAGTGGCCCCACATCCTTTGTCAGCACATGCCCAAACCATCTTAAGCCCTATTCGCACAGGATTAGTATTATCTGGGGACCTTGTGTGATTTTGAAATCACCCCCACATCTGAATTCCCTGTGGTGCATTCACACGGGATAAGCGAAGCCTGTGATTTTACTGATTTATCTCCCGGACGACGTCAAGGCTTTGGGAGATTCCCGTTCAATGGTCCGGTTAGAAGGATTTAAAAACAAAGAAACCAATATAGTTTCGTGCCCTGTGTGATTTACATTTTACCAGGTTAAAATAATATCTCTCGCTTTATGCTTGATTTATTTGTAACACATTGACCTCAAAACCTTTTTAGCTTTCCCTTTCTGCAAATTGTATGGTGTAGCGATATGACAGCACCCAAAATACTATCAAACACTCTCAACGCAGCTCCATTCTTCACGCAAGAGGGATAAAAAGGCGCACGACACTTTCTGTGTCCCCATCATTCAAAAGGCTTAAAAAAAACATACAAAATTGTGTTTTTTTGAAAATCAAAAAATGCATAAAGTTTTCTGTGAGGGGTAGGTTTAGGTGTAGGGCGACAGAAAATACAGTTTGTACAGTATAAAAACCATTACACCTATGGATACTCCCCGTAAACCATAAACACCCATATGTGTGTGTGTGTGTAACATGCTTTCTTTTCTTTTCTTTTTTTTATTAGAACAACACATGCTTTCAATTTTGTGTGTTTATGTTGTATGTTAAGTGTGGGTGAGAGCAGGCATGTGTTTGTTTACAGGCACTTTTTTTATGCACAAAAACTTAAAGGTGCAATAGTATGGAATGCCAATCCATAATTAGAAAAATAAATGTATAAAGAAATGTAAAAAAGCAAAAATAAGTAAATAAATATACAAAGAAAAGTCAAATAAAGTCTTATATCACGGGTTATTATTTTCAGTTTCACGTGGGGGGTTGTTTCGGCTGGGAAGCGTGCAATCTATAAATATATGTTGCAAAATACACATTCAAATATATAATGTCAGTATTCATAACTTCAGTCAGTTAAAACATCATAATCATGATGTGCATACAAGGATTTAAGTCTTGACGATATAAAGTAAATAAATTAGTTGTCATCAGCTTCATCATCACTTCTAACACTTTATTTCGAGATGGTCCTCATCGCAGAACACAAGATCCAGGGGGCGAGGTTGGATCCAGATCCAACTCCTCCCACCTTACATATACCTAAACCTACCTGTCTCCACCCCTGATCCCTAAACCCACCCATCTCCACCCCTAAACCTACCATCTCCATCCCCTAGATGTGGATCCGCCCCCCGCCCCCGCCCCCTGGATCTTTGTTCTGCAGCAAGGGGCTGCTGTTTGTGAGTGCCAGCTACGTTAAAAAAGTGAATAATTTAAGTAATTTGTGGATTAGTGCTTACTGGAGACGCGAACCGTTTCAAACGATTCAGTCCAATTTGGTGAACTGGTTCAACCGGTTCACGAAGAAGAACCGGTTAAATCGAACGATTCGTTCGTGAACTGGACATCACTACTGTCCTGAGACTGCTGTGATGTAAGGGTTCTGCAGCTGGGGATTATTGTGGCCACATCCAGTGTACCGAGGAAACATGCTACCTATCAGATTGTGCTACCAAAAATATATTTGGATTGTTTTAAGGGTAAGTTTATGGTAAGGGTAAGTGTGCACGGGTAGGTTTAGGGTAGGGGTAGGTATGGACATTAAAAAAAGGCCTCAAAGGCCTTCCTCCGTCTCACCAACCACCTGTATATCCTCCATCAACAACATGAACCTCCTTTTGGTCTTCCTGTACTCACTAATCTCCTGCCCAGTGGCCCCACATCCTTTGTCAGCACATGCCCAAACCATCTTAAGCCCTATTCGCACAGGATTAGTATTATCTGGGGACCTTGTGTGATTTTGAAATCACCCCCACATCTGAATTCCCTGTGGTGCATTCACACGGGATAAGCGAAGCCTGTGATTTTACTGATTTATCTCCCGGACGACGTCAAGGCTTTGGGAGATTCCCGTTCAATGGTCCGGTTAGAAGGATTTAAAAACAAAGAAACCAATATAGTTTCGTGCCCTGTGTGATTTACATTTTACCAGGTTAAAATAATATCTCTCGCTTTATGCTTGATTTATTTGTAACACATTGACCTCAAAACCTTTTTAGCTTTCCCTTTCTGCAAATTGTATGGTGTAGCGATATGACAGCACCCAAAATACTATCAAACACTCTCAACGCAGCTCCATTCTTCACGCAAGAGGGATAAAAAGGCGCACCGCAAAAAAAAAAAAAAAAAAAAAAAACCTAGAAAAATGATATACGGCCCGCCAAATGCTGGCCAAATTACAGACACGGCCGATTCGCACAGGATTAAGATCACAGACAACCTCCGCAATTATTACAAATGACTGGAGGTCACCAGATAATACTAATCCCGTGCGAATAGGGCTTTAGTCTCACGCCTCTCACTTGGTCTACAAAACATCCTAACTGTGCGGTCTCTCTAATATGCTAATTTCTCATCACTCCCAAAAGGAAAAAAAAATTTAAAACCTCTTCAACTCTGCCACCATCTCCTGCTCCTGTCTTTTTTTGTTAGTGTCACCGTCTCAAGGCCATAAAACATAGTTGGTCACACTAACATCTTGTAAACTTTCCCCTTTCACTCTTGCAGGTACCCTTCTATCACAAATC